GTCCCGCTTGAGGCGGAGACTCATGATGTCGAAGTAGGAGGTCAGCGGAATCTGTTGCAGCGTTTCATCGCTGGGGCAAGGCATCTTCGAGCCCGCCGTCTCGGGGGCGATTGCTTCTTCGCCCAATGTGGCCAAGAAGCTGGCGGCGCTGGTGTCACCGGTCTCGCTGGAGATGGCCTGTAAAGTCGTTTTGTAATCTTCGGCCCAATCGGCGGCTGCATCGGGGCTACTATCTCGCAGCTTGGCGAGCAGATGCAGCGCCCAACGCGTGTCGCCTTCCTGCTGGGCTTGTCGCGCGGCGTCGATGACCGCCTCAGGACCACCCATCATTTCGATCTCACGGCTGGCGACCGTTTGTCGATTGCAGGGGTAAAGCGTCTCTGGGCGTTCATCGAACCAGCCAACGTAGCTGTGATACATCGAGCGGACCGCCCAACCGATGCGACATTCGGACTCGGTCAGATAAGGACTCGCAGCTAGATGTTCTGGAAGCGCGATTGTTTCGACGGCCTGGTCGACAGAATCGCCGCGATTGATGGCACGGAGAGTTTCTTCTTTGACCCATTGCAGGGCATCGCGATAGGCAATGAGTGCGGCGCGGACTTCATTCGCATTGGAAAGCGTCGCGGCGCGGGAAGAGACTAGCACTTCTGGCTCGAGGGCCCGCATGCGATCGAGCGTGTTGATCCACTCTTCAGGCGAACGGGACTGGGTTCCACGGACGTGGTGCACTTCGGGGAAACCGGGGCCGAAATTGTCGCCGGCGATCAGCACCTTCTCCGAGGGCAGCCAAACCAGCAGGTGATCGCGGGTTTCGCCGGGAGCAGCTATGAGTTGGAACTCGGTTTGCCCGACGGTGAACGTGGCCTCGTCGCTCACGGTTTCGGTGGGCATGCGGACGAGGGGCGTGTTCTCGAGCGCGGCGGGATCGGCGTTGCGGCCCGTGGTGAGGGGAATTCGCATCGCCTCGGGCATCGAAAGACCGAACTGTCGGGTACCGCGACGGAGCACGGCTTTGTTCAATAACACGTATTGCCGCAGAAACTCATTGGGCATCGACTCGGCGGCCCACACGGGAATCTTCGCATCGTCGACCCACACACCACCGCCTCCGGTCTGTTCGATTTGATGGTGCGTATAGATCACAGCCGCGATGGGGCCGGGTGCGTGCTCGGCAAACGCCGTTCGAATTTCTTGCGCTCGATCGCCGCATGAGCCGGTGTCGATTACCACATTACCTTCGCTGGTGGCGATGACGACCGTCTTCGCAATGTCGTACCCGTCGGCAACGAAAACGTTGGGGGCGACTTCAACAACACGCGCCGCATGTTGTCCATCTTCACCAGACGAGGGCGAAGTTGCTTCGTCGGCCTCCACTGAGGGAACGGTAGTTTCGCGGTCAGGTTTCGCCAACTCGGTGGCATTTCCGATTGTGTCGCCGAGACTGAAGAGCAACAGACCACAGAAGAGCGGAGTCGAAAGCAGTTGGTGCGTACGCATAGCAGTTGCCTTTCTCATCGTTCCACCGCCCCTTGCGGTCGGCGGAAGGGGTAGTTGCAGTTCCCGTGCCACATGCCCCGGTAGAATGCACGGCAACGCTCAAGCCCAATGACTGCCTGGGCTTCGTAAAAAGAAAAGACCGGGCCCCCCATGGCCCGACATCCATTATAAGCTGCTCGCCCACCGGCCAGGGTGATTTGGTAGCGAATAAAACGTCAGGCAATGAATGACATTGTGAAAAGTTTCGCGAGGAACATTGGGGGTAATACCCAGGCTTTAAGACGCACCCAACAAGTCGTTCGCATACGAAAAAACCAAACGCTCGACTAATCCTACGAATTCGAGTAAAGGAAAGTTCTACTCACTTGGTGCGAGACATTCATCAGACGGTTGGGGGCCATGCACCATGCGGTCGGTCATAGTCTATCTCGCGGTCGCACTCGGTCTGATCGCCTGTTTTTTCATCGGCAGTGATATGCATCTGTGGTCATGGCCACGATGGCTGCGCGTTCCTTCGCTGATCTTCATGGCTGGTGCCCAATATCTGATTCTTACTCTACTGGTGGCTATCGCGTTGGCGCTATTCTTTAGCGTACGAGCAGTGATCCGATTCAAGGATCGTCGAGCACTGTATGTCGATGCCTCCCGTGCGATGATCTCGCTGGTCTATATACCGCTGTTTATTGTTGCTCTGGGCGCATACAGTGTTCGCAGGGAAGCAGCATTTCATCGCGTGGCGGCGAACGGGAACGAACTGGTGGATGCACTCAGCCAGTTTCACCACGACTTCGGACGTTATCCCGAAGCACTTCACGAGTTAGTACCACAGTATATCAGCGCGATACCTAGCACCGGTCTGATCGGCTACCCCACGTACCACTATCGCCGCGGCTTCAACGACATTGATCAAGTAGACGACTCGTACGAACTCGTTGTCTACTGCCCAAGCGGAATCCTCAACTTCGACCGCTTCATCTACTGGCCGTCGGAAGTTTATCCCGAGGAGATTCAATCGAGTTTGGTCGTCCCGATGGAAAACTGGGCGTATCTGAGTGAGTGAACTCAGTAGCGGCCATCACATGATGTTGGACATCTTTTAGCTTCTGAATGAGAATGATGGAGTTTTGCGAGCAGGTTTGGGACATCGGGCTGGTAGAGAAGGGGAACGGCGATGCGAGGAGTTTCTTCGCAGGGAGTTTTGGCTTTCGTCCTGATCGCTCTACCAGCGAGAATTGCCACCGCGGGAATGCCCGGCATCACACTCACGGATGTCGCCCGCATGCGACTTCAGACGATTTCATTTTTTCTGCTTGTGGCATTGATTTCAGCGCTGGTCGTGCAGGTGGTTTGGAACACACTGCGGCGAGAATTCCCTCGACTGCCACGACTGAGTTACCCAAAAGCCTGCGGGTTGGTAACCCTGTGGGGGCTGCTCTTCGTGGTCGTGCTGACGATGATTTCCGGAGCACGAGAGCTCATGACGCCCGGGGCCTGGGAAAAACAGGGGCTGACGTATCAATTGAGCGATAACGGGGAAAAACCCGAAAGAAATCCTAGAGTTACTGGCGATTTGCAGACGTCGTGGTCGCCCAAAGACGAACTGATGCCGGCGCGGCTGGCTATGCTCGAACGATTAAGGCATTCGCTGCTTACATTTGCCCGGGTACACGAGGGGAAGTTCCCCAGTGATCCCGATGAACTAGGTCTGCTAGAGGATGATTGGCTCGTACCCGATGCTTCTCGCATGAAGTACGTGTACGTTCCAGGCCTTTCGGTCGACGATGCCGAAACGCTTCTCTACGAACCGCAGATCTTCGGTGAGACTCGTTTTGTTCTCCGCACGACTGGCGAACTCGTGTTGGAATCGCCTTCATCGGAACCACTGAGTCCGGTGGATTTAACGGAGACGGCCGAATGAGAAGGCACCTCGAAGTAGCTGCGGCCATCCTCGGGATGCTGTTGCTCCTCACATGTTCCGGAGGGTACTTTTTTCTGGAAATACCCCTAGTCCTTCTCATGGGCTGGATTTGGTACCTGATGCGCGTGATTCCAGAGATCGAGGTCAATTATTCGGCCTTGGCGATGGGATTCATCGCCCTTGGCTTGTTCTTACTTGGCACGCACGTGTTCGCACTAAAGTTGGCAGAGGAGTTTAATCGGGACGATCCCGCTTCTTCACTAAATGGCGATGATCGCCCCAAGGGATGGGCTTTCAGGTCCACATTCGCGTTGGTAACGCTTACGATTGTCGCCTTCACGGCCGGCATTTCTATTGTCGGTATCGTTCATCAAGGGGTGTGGATGGTAAGGTCCGGTCCGATCCTTCAGAGTGGTATGACGGCCGTTGTGAGCCGAATGAATTCCCAAAGCAATCTCAAGCAAGTTGGGATCGCGATGCACAATTACCACTACGGGTGCGATGGCGTTCCACCTGGGGCGTTCTTCTCAGACGACGGGCGCCCGCAGCATGGCTGGGCAGCCATTTTGAGCCCCTACCTCGAGCAGGTCGAACCCGTCGACATTGACTTGAATGTCCCGTGGGATGATCCGGTAAATGCTGAAGCATTCAAACAAACGCCATCCACCTTCTTGCAGCCAGGAGAAGAACGCACTCACAATGCACAGGGTCTGGCACTGAACCACTACAGTTCCAACGTCTATGTGATGGGTGGTGAGCACATGGTGGACATGGATGAAATTGTAGATGGCACCAGCAACACGATCATGGTGGGCGAAATCGCCGACGGCTATCCGGCGTGGGGCTATCCGGTCAACTGGCGCGACCCCGCCTTGGGCGTGGATGGTTCGAAGAACAATTTCGGAAGCGCGATGACTGAGGGTGCCAACTTCGTGTTCGTCGACGGGAGTGCCAAATACATCAGCCCCGACATCGACCCCAGAGTTCTGAAAGCCCTCAGCACTCCGGCGGGTGGAGAACCGCCTTATGAAGAAGAGCAGTAGTTAAGAACCCAGCGGCAAATCTTCGAGCGTGGAGCGCTCGCAATAAGGTTGGCACTCAACCCTCACTCGGCTTCACCAACTCGGGGTTGTTTTCCAGAGCGACGATCCCATCGACGAGCTGTTGAGGCAGCGGGAGGGCTTTGGCTTGGGCGTAGTCGACCCAGAGGCAGACACTGGAGCCGTCTGCGGCGACTTCGCCGGTAGAGACTTCGCGGATGGTGTAGTCGAGCTTGAACGACTTGCCGCTAATGGAAGAAACGCTGGCGGTCACGTCGACTGAGCCGGGGTAGGCCAACTGCCGGCGGAAGTTCAAGTTGGCCGCCACCATGCCGGGCCCTTCGCGGTCGTGGGTGCGGAACTGCTCGGGATTGAGCTGCTCGAAGTAGGCGATGCGGGCGCTTTCGCAATACTGGAAGTAGACAATGTTGTTCACATGGCCCAGTGCGTCCATGTCGCCCCAGCGAATCTCGCAGCGGACGGTTACCCCGAGGGTGGAGTCTTCCTTGTGCTCTGTCATCAGTTCCGTATGAAGTTCGAGATTAAGCGATCCAGCGGGGAATGACTTCGCCGGCCAGGTCGGTCAGACGATAGTCGCGGCCTTGGAAGCGGTAAGTCAGCTTCAGATGGTCGAGCCCGAAGAGATGCAGAATGGTGGCGTGGAAGTCGTTGATGTGCACGGGATCGACCACGGGCGACCAACCGATTTCGTCGGTTTCGCCATAGACCTGGCCGCCCTTGATGCCGCCGCCGGCCATGAGCAGGCTGAAGGCGAAAGGGTGATGGTCGCGGCCGGTGTTCACCTCGCGGCTACCGCCCCGGTTTTCGCCCAGGGGAGTGCGCCCGAATTCGGAGGCCATCACCACTAGGGTTTCGTCGAGCAGGCCCCGTTGCTTGAGGTCTTTGATCAAGGCAGCCACCGGTTGATCGGCCATGCCGGCGTTGACCGGAAGTTGCTGATCGAGATTCGAGTGGTGATCCCACGAGGCGTGGATGAGGTTGACGAACCGCACGCCGCGCTCGACCAGACGTCGGGCCAACAGGCAGTTGGTCGAGAAGCTGGGCCACTGATCGCCCCCGCCGCCGCGGTTGCCCTGAAGTTCGGGCGTTTTGCGATCGATGCCGTAGGCGTCCAGCGTTTGCTGCGTCTCGCCGGAAAGGTCAATCAGCTCGGGGGCTGAGGCCTGCATGCGGTAAGCCAGTTCGTAGCTGGCGATGCGGCTGGCGATTTCGGGATCGTGCACGGCGTCGTAGCGGCGTTCGTTCGAGCGGCGCAAGACATCGAGCCCCTTACGCTGCAGCTCGGGCGGAAGACCGGGCGGGTTTTGTAGATTGAGTACCGCTTCGCCCTGGTTGCGGAAGCGAACGCCGGCATGCACGCTGGGCAGGAAGCCCGACTGCCAGAGCGTGGTTCCGCCGCTGGAGCCTCGCCCGGCGGTGAGCACCACGTAGCCCGGCAGGTTTCGCGATTCGCTCCCCAGACCGTAGGTGAGCCACGACCCCATCGACGGCAAGCCGAACACACCCCGGCCGCATTGCATGAGCAGTTGGCCCGGGTGATGGTTGAACTGGTCGGAGTGCATGCTGCGGACGAGCAACAAATCGTCGGCCACCGAGCCCAGGTGTGGCAGCAACTCGGAAAGCTCCATCCCGCATTGGCCAAACTTCTTGAACTTCTGATTCGAGCCCAAGAGCGTGGCGGTTTCTTTCTGAATGAAGGCGAACCGCACATTCTCCGTCATCGACTCGGGCAGCTTCTGCCCGTTGAGTTCGTTGAGCTTCGGCTTGGGGTCGAACAGATCGAGCTGGCTGGCAGCGCCCGCCATGAAGATGAAGATGCACGACTTGGCTTTGGGTGCGAAGTGCGTGGGCTTGGGCGTCAGGGGGTCGGCCGCCGCGGCGGAAGTCGACTCGGCCCCGTGCGCGGTGCCGGGGCCCAAGAGACCGTCGGCCGCGAGCATCGAGCCGAGGGCTGCCATCCCCAGACCGCTGGCGGTGGTGTTGAAGAACTCGCGTCGCGTGCGGCGAACTTGTTCGTCGAATGGATGCATGGGGGCCTCAGCGTTACTCGCGGGTAATAAACTCGTCGAGGTTCATGAAGACGCGGGACGTTGCGACCCAGGCGGCGTTCTCGTCGACCGAGATATCGCTGGCCGCATACTCGCCGACCAGTTCGGTGGCGGCGTCTTGGTGTTCGGTGTACCACTGCCTCGCGGTGTTAAGCAGTTCGGTCGCGTCGGCCAGTTCGGCCTCGTTGGGTTCGCGGGCGACGCAGTGGCGGAAGATGAATGTTAGGCGGTCGTCGTCCTCGGGCGTTGCTTCTGTTAGTGCACGGCGGGCCATCGCCTGGGAGGCTTCAACGAACACAATGTTATTCAGCGTGGTGAGCGCCTGCAGGGGCGTGTTCGAGGGTTGCCGCTGCACGCAGGTGGTGTTCGAGTCGGGGCAATCGAACGTGATCAGGTTCGGGTGAGGCGCGGTGCGTTTGAAGAAGGTGTACATCGCGCGGCGGTAACGTTCCTCGCCCTTGCTGTCTTCCCACTTGAAGTTGCCGGCGTAGCTGAGCGAGGCAATGTCAGAGGTCATCGGCGGGAAAACGCTGGGGCCACCGATTTTTTCTGACAGCAAACCGCTGGCAGAGAGATGCAAGTCGCGGACGATTTCGGCTTCGACACGAAAACGATTCTGGCGATACAGCAGTTTGTTTCGCGGATCGACTTCGGCCAGCTCCAGTCGATGCTGCGACGATTGCCGGTAGGTGGCCGAGGTGACAATGCGGCGAATCATCGCCTTACGGCTCCAGCCCAGGTCGATGAACTCGAGGGCCAGCCAGTCGAGCAGCTTGGGGTGCGTGGGTTCTTCGCCGCGGATGCCGAAGTCGTCCATCGTTTCGACGAGCCCTTCGCCGAAGAGGTGCGACCAGACTTGGTTCACGGCCACGCGGGGCGTTAAAGGGTTGCGACCATCGACCAGCCAGTACGCGAGATCCAAGCGGTTGGGGTTCGCCGGGTCGCGGGCCTCCAGCGGATGCAGCACAGCCAACGTGTCGGGCACAATCCCATCGCCCTGGGGTTGCAGGAAGTCGCCCCGCCGGAGCAGGCGCGTGGTGCGGGGGTCTTCGTTGCGGTGGGCGATAACACGAACTTGCATTGTGGGGGGCTCGGGCTTCTTCTTGTTGTGCGCTGCGATGCGGGCCAGCAGTTTGGCCCCTTGCGGTTTGGTGGAGACGAAGTAGTCGAGCAGTTGCTGGCGTTGCTCGTCCGTACGGTTGTCGGCTTCGGTACGCAGCACGGCGACGATGTTTTCCGGCATGCCAGCGTTGGGATCGTCGCCCGTGTTAGCCAGCAAGCGAATGCGCCCGATGGTGTGTTGCCGGCCGTGGTTTTGTTCGAGTTGCAGTTTGATCCACACCGTTTCGGCTTCGACAGCAAGGGGAGCGGACAGCGTGAACTCGGCCCAATGGTCTTTGCCGTATTCTTTGCCGACGGCCCAACCGGTTTTGGCTTCTCCGTCGATAGCGCCGGCCACATCGTATCCACCTTGCGAATGATCGGCCGTGGCCGAGGCGAGCGTCACCTGGTGCTCTTCGCCGAGTTCTTCACTGGGCCCAGCGAAGGCAGTCAGCTCGTTGAGCACAAAGTTACCGTGAGCCACGCGGCCGGGACCGTTGGCCGGAAGTGAAGCGTGGGAGAGCGTCTCGAGGCGAAGACTCGAAATGTCGCTGGTCGGCGACTTAGCCAGCACGGTGAGGGTGTCGCGATCAGGATTGTTGCCGCTGGCCAGGTACGAGCCGTCGTCGAGTCGTTCGAAGGTGGCCCCGCCGGAGGAATTCACGTTGACCACATCCAGCGGGATCAACTCCGGTGGGTTCTTGGCAGCTTCGGCCAGGCTGTGCTGTGCTTCGGCTTCCCAGGCGGCGAGTTGTGGGGCCAGCTCATCGCGAAGCTTGCGCAGTTTGGTTTGTAGCGTTTCGCTGGTGGCGTGGTGTTCGGCGAGCTGGACCTCGTACTTGGCGACGGCTTCTTCGGAGACGGGAACTTGCGTTTCGCTTTCGTCGCCATTGTTGAAGAAGGCGAAGAGTTGGTAGTACTCGTTCTGCGTGATCTTGTCGTATTTATGAGTGTGGCACTGGGCGCAGGCCACCGTAAGGCCCAGCCAGACCGAACCGGTGGTGGCGATGCGGTCGACGATGGCGGCCACGCGGAACTCTTCCTGGTCGGTTCCGCCTTCGGTGTTGGTGAGCGTTTGCCGATGAAACGCAGTGGCGAGCTGCTGCATGGGGGTGGCATCGGGCAACAGGTCGCCGGCCATTTGTTCGATGGTGAACTGATCGAACGGCATGTCGCGGTTCACCGCTTCGATCACCCAATCGCGATAGCGCCAGGCGTTGGGGCGGGGGCGATCTTTCTCGTAACCGTCGGAGTCGGCATAGCGGGCCTTGTCCATCCAGTGCCGGCCCCAGCGTTCGCCAAAGTGCGGCGACTTCAACAAGCGGTCGACCAACTGCTCATACGCATCGTCGGCCGCGTCGTTCACAAACGCGTCAACTTCACCCGGCGTCGGCGGCAAGCCCACCAAGTCGTAGTACAGACGTTTAATTAAGGTGTACCGATCGGCTTCAGGCGAGGGCTCTATTCCCTCGGCTTCAAGCCTGGCCAACACGTAAGCATCGATCGGGCTGCGAACCCAATCGCGGTTCTTCACCGCCGGGGGTGCTCCGCGGACGATCGGTTGGTACGCCCAATGATCGGACTCGATGTGGCCAGTGCCTCGGGCAGCGTCGGGCCAGTTGGCCCCGGCGTCGATCCATTTGCGAAGCGTTTCGATCTGCGCTTCCGTGAGCGGCTGCACGTCTTCTTCGTAGGGTGGCGGCATCCGCTCGTCTTCGTCGGCCGTCACGCGCGTGATCAGCGTGCTGCCCGCACTATCGCCGGCGACGTACGTGGGACCGGAGTCGCCGCCGAGCAGAACACTGTCGCGATAGTCGAGCCGCAGCCCGCCCTGTTGATCGCTGGCACCGTGGCAGCTCACGCAGTGCGCTTGGAAGATCGGTTGCACATCGCGAACGAAGTCGATCTCTTCCGCTCGCGCGGGCGGGATCGCAACTAGTACCGCTATCGCTAGAAAACTCGCCGGGAATTTCAGCAAGACGAACCAGCCTTTCCACGCATGGTGCGTGCACATCGCGTCGGCAGGAAGGAAGCCAGGAGGGTTAATAACCAGTATACCGGTTGAAAGGGGGGGCTTGGAAGCGTTTTTTGTGTCCCACACCTAAACGTCCACGTCGCCATTATGAATTGGATTCTAAGACCCAGCAGCTCTATAAATACAGTCATGGTAAGTGTTTCGTCGCTTGGGATTCCTCATCGCCTCACTTTGAAGGGCGGAATAAATGAGCGTTGACTTAGGGGTCTATGTCGTCGACTGGGATGCTTGTTTGAGACTGCTCGAACGAGCCGACGACGCAGAGGAAACGTGGGAGCAATTGGCTGAAGGTAGAGTTAACCTCGAGTACGAGGACGCAGAGGGACTACAAAGATTTTCAGACTACTACGATCTGTGTAAACAGCAGGGACTCAAAGCGTGGATGCCCACCTTCGAGGAATCGCTGAAAGTCGTCTGCTGGACCGTCCGTGAAGACGGGAAAAAGACCCAAGAACTGGGATTTCAACTTGATCCAGATGCATTCCCGATTGATTCCAGTTGGACACCCGCCACGACTCTTCAACTTCGCGATTCGTGGCTCTCAGCCAAAATTAATGACTTTCAAAGCATCGAAATCGAGGACGGCGGATTCGCGTTTCGCGATTTTGAGGAATACCACAGCGATTGGGTTTCCGTGTTCGACAAGGCTAGTTCAGAGAGGAAAGGGATTTTGGTTGCAGTCTGGGGATGAGATCAGATCTCGGCCTTATGACTGCTCTGAGCATTTGAGTCCCCCATTCTGCTTGCGATTCGCCACCGCAATCACTAAGGTTGGCGGTGCAGCCTACCTCGGGGGGTTTGCCTTCTGCCCCTGATCTTCCGTGTCGCGGGAGCTTGCCATGTCGCACGATTCGAATCGCTCGCCCAACTCCACGCATGAACTGATTAGCCAAGCCGTCCGTCGGCGGACCTTTCTGGTGGCCGGGGGTTTGGGCTTCGCCGGGATGAGCTTGCCGGGTTTGGCAACGCAGGGGGCGGCGCTGCAAGCTTCAGGCGGTCGGGCGAAGTCGACGATTCTGTTCTTCTTGTGCGGTGGCTCCTCGCATATCGACACGTGGGACATGAAGCCGGAAGCCCCGGTCGAGTTTCGCGGCGAGTTCAACCCCATCGCCACCACCGCGCCGGACATTCAACTCTGCGAACACCTGCCGCATCTCGCTCAACAAGCCCATCACCTGGCGATCGTCCGTTCGCTGGGGCACTACGGTCGCGGGACCGGTGACCATCACGCGGGCTACTATTACAACCTGACGGGCCATGCCCCCGATGTGAGCTTTCGCACGCTGGCCAACGACCGCCGTCCGGAACCGACCGATTGGCCTTACATTGGTTGTGTGGTCGGCGCGAAGCGTTCGCCGCATCCTTATCTGCCGAATGCGGTGTCGCTGCCGCACAAACCAAGCAGGTTGCCGTATACAAGGCCCGGGCAGTTCGCCGCGCTGCTTGGCGTGGAACACGACCCGTTGTATGTGGACGGGAATGTCGATAAGCCGCTGGAGTTTTCGGTGCCGGCCCTCGAGCTTCGCGGTGACTTGTCGCCCGAGCGGGTGGCAGCTCGTCGGTCGTTGCTCGATGGAATCGACGCCGCCGAACGAGCGTTCGACAGCACCGTCGATAGTGTGACCTACTCGAAGCAACAAGAGAAAGCCTTCTCGTTGCTCACCTCGGCGAAAGCGAAGGCGGCGTTCAATTTGGCCGACGAGCCGGAAGCGCTCCGCGAGCGATACGGCCAAACCGTCAACGGGATGAGCCTGTTGATCGCCCGACGATTGGTCGAGGCCGAGGTGCCGTTCATCACCGTGTTCTGGAAAGAGAACATGAAGTTCGCCAAGCAGTGCAAGAGCGCCGGCGGCTGGGACACCCATGGCAACAATTTCAATTGTTTGCGCGATCGGTTGCTGCCGGAGTTCGATCGTGGTTTCTCTGCTTTGATTGAAGACCTTGACCAACGGGGCCGGTTGGACGAAACACTGCTGGTGGTGAACAGCGAGATGGGACGCAAACCGCAGATTGGCGACGTGCGTTCCGGCGGCGTCAGCGGCGCGGGCCGCGATCATTGGACGCACTGCATGAGCGTGCTGATGGCCGGCGGTGGCATCCGTGGTGGGCAGGTGTATGGATCGTCCGACCGCGAGGGTCAGTACCCGGCCAACCGACCGGTGGGTCCTGAACATATCGCCCATACGATCTACCACGCGATGGGTGTGAACGATCTCACCACCACCGACCGCCAAGGCCGCCCCCTGCAACTGATGCCTGAGGGGCGTCCGTTGGTCGAGTTGTTCTAAACCAAGCCTTTTACAGGCTTTTCTTGGTTGCTTCACTTACTGCCGCGGGGAATTTGTTGGACCTCGGCTGCGGCGATGACTTATCATTCGGGCTGGAGCAGGTTGAGGCCCGGGGTGCACATCGCTTCTTCTCGCGAAAGGCTTCTCTCATGCGCGAATCGCAACAGGACCTCCGCCGCCGTACGTTTTTAAAATCGAGCCTGATGGCCGCCGGCGCGACTGGCTTCACGCATTCGCTCGCCACCCCACAAGCCAAGGCGGCCCCGGCGGAGAAAGCCGGAAGTGCAGATCCGTCGGCGATCCCTACGCGTCCCTTCGGCAGCACGGGGCGAACGCTTCCCATCCTGGCGATGGGTGGTTCGGCGATGGTGGGACTTTTCATTCGCGCTTACGGCACCGAACTGTTGCCGCTGGATGAGCGGAAGGCGATGGTCCGTCACGCGTACGACTCAGGCATTCGCTACTTCGATACGGCCCGAGTGTATGGCGAGAGCGAATCGATCATGGGAGCCGGGCTCAAGGGCGTTCGCGAGAACTGCTATGTGGCCACGAAGATGCACTTCCCCGATGCGAAGATGACCCGGCAGAGCGTAGAGAAGTCGCTCGAACAACTCGACATGGATTACGTCGACTGCGTGCAGATTCACAGCCCTGCAATCGAACGCGTGGGTTTCGACGGCGCGATGAAGATTCACGCCGAGTTGGTCAAGCTCCGCGACGAAGGACTGCTGAAGTACATCGGGCTCACCACGCACGTGGCGTTCGAAACCGTGCTGAAGATGATCGAGACCGGCGGGTTCGACCAGGTGCTGCTGGCCTACGGCTACTTTCGCAAAGGCATGGACACGATGCTCTCGAACCAGAACATCGAGTTCCGCGAGCAGTGCCTGGCCAAAGCGTACGATCAGAAGATGGCCATCGTGGCGATGAAGGTCCTGGGGGCCAACATCATGAGCCACAACGCCAAGAACGTGGTTGGCGATTACGACGAAGCCCAATTGGCCAAGGTACCCCCGGCCGCCATCCGCTGGGTGCTCCGCGACGAACGCGTGTCGATGCTTAACATCGGCGTCTCGATGCCCGCAGACATCGACCGCAACCTGGCCACCCTCACCGCCGACACCACCTACACCAACGAAGACCGCGACGTGCTGGCCGAGTTTTCAGCCCGGGCGTATGAGTCGAAGTTGGTGAAGGAGATGGAGGTGACGTAGGACAATCCCACTGACCCATCTGGTCTACTTGATGCACGGTCTTCCTGCTTAGCATTGTCGTCCAACACTTGCTAAAGTGTTTCACAGGCCATTTCCACGCTAGAAAAGGGGAATTTGGGGCAGCTGCTATGGGGTTCTACCTGCGGAAGAGCGTGCGAGTTGGCCTCATACGTTTCAACTTATCCAAGTCAGGCATTGGCGTATCTACTGGTGTCACCGGCTTACGAGTCGGATCAGGCCCCCGGGGAAATTACATTCACGTCGGCAGGGGAGGGCTGTATTACCGAAAGACGCTCTCGTCACGGCAACCCGCACACACTCGAAAGAGAAACTCAACTCCGGGCCACCAGCCGATCCAGTCAGACTCCACCCATGGGCAGCTAGAAACGATCCAGTCCGGATGCGTGTCGCAGATGGTGGACTCCTCTTCTGAGGGACTACTTTCGGAGCTCACAGAAAAACAGCGACAGATGCGGTACTGGCCCTGGGTCACGGTCTTGGGAATGCTTTTCTTCTCGTATCTTGTTCTCATCGGTGCGAGTTCTTTGGTTCTCTGGTTTCTTGGCATCACACTTCTACCTGCAGTGGTCGGTGCATTCTATTTGGACTTGCTTCAAAAAAGTGTCGTACTGATGTACGACCTCGACGAAGCTTCTGAGGCGGCGTTTCACAACGTCTTTGAAGCGGTGGATGAACTTGCCAGATGCGGGGCCGCGTGGCATATCAGTGCCCGCGGAGACGTCTACGATTCGAAATACCACGCCGGAGCAAGCAATTTGGTCCAGCGGAAGAGCATTTCGATCGGCCAGCGTGAGCCGCCTTATGTGCGCACCAATTTATCAATCCCGAGAATTCCTTTAGGGGACAGAACACTTTACTTTCTGCCCGATCGACTGCTTCTCTACGCATCCGGTGGAATTGGTTCACTCGATTACTCTGATGTTCGAGTCGAAAGAGAGGCAACGAACTTTATCGAATCCGGAACCGTCCCACGCGACGCCAAAGTTGTCGACCACACCTGGAAATACGTGAACAAGAGCGGAGGCCCCGACCGGCGATTCAAGGACAACCACGAGATTCCCGTTTGCGAGTATCTACAGATTCACCTGAGTAGTGGCAGTGGGCTTAATGAGCAACTGCAAATCTCTAATGCTTCTGCAGGCACTTCTCTTCAAACGACTTTAGACAGAATGGCTAGCGTCCTCCACTCATCTCGCAGCGCCGCACAGTCGAGCGATGTCGCTTCTCCCAATCTGCTTCAACCACAACCTCACCCTGAAATACCAATTATTGCACAACCCTCCACTCGACAGCTTTTCGGCTTCCTACTCAATATTCTTTGTTGCGCAATGGTGGCTGATGGAAGAGCTTCAAAGATCGAGAAGATCCGGATCAAATCCATAATGAAGAAGCTGCGAGCACCTTGGACCTCGGATGAGGTAGATGAACGGATAGCTTCTTTCATAGGCGAAGTACAATCAAAGGGGTTTCCCAAGGTTCTCAACGAATCGCTTCGATCTGTGAAGTGGTTTAGAGGCCAAGATCGCAAAGAAGTATTGTTGAAGAGCATCAGAGCAGTAGCTCTAGCTGACGGGAAAGCCTCTTCAAAGGAAAGCGTTCTATGTGCCAGGATCGAAGGCATGCTCTCATCGGATTCTGACAGGACATAGCGGACTCCGAGCAATCAGACCTTCAACTTTCGGCGTAAACCAGCCCGCAGAGCTGAATTTCTCAAGCCGGCGAACCTCTTCATTCAGCCCCTGGCCACAAGTTGCGATGGCTTGTAGTTCAGCTATCCTATAGGCCACTTGAAATGCTGGCCTTTCAGCAGATGATGCCCTCCTTAGGAAAGACTTTCGATGAAGACCGATAGCGATCAGGCGGTGTCCGTTTCGCAGCAGAGCGTGGATGCCAACCGGGAGATGATTTGCGAAGCCCGGAAGGCCGGCAAATTCGCGCTGCTGGGGGCATTCGTCAAGCTGTCGGGGCCAGGGTGGCTGCAAAGTGCGATCACGCTCGGTGGTGGATCGCTGGCCGGGGCGTTGTACCTAGGTGTGGTTGGCGGCTACAGCCTGCTGTGGGTGCAGTTGATGGCCATCGTGTTCGGCGTGATCATGCTGTGCGCGATTTCGTACGCGTCGCTTTCCACCGGCGAACGGCCGTTCAAGTCGATCGGGCAACATATCAACCCGGTGCTGGCCTGGGGTTGGGCTCTGGCTACGCTGGCGGCCAACATGGTGTGGAGCTTGCCGCAGTTCAGCCTTGCTACGGCCGTGGTGCAGCAGAACCTGTTGCCCGACGCGGTGGGGGCCAACAGCGCGATGGGCGACAACGCCGGTAAAGCACTCATCTGCGGCATCATTCTCGTTCTCGCCGTGTCGATCGTTTGGGTCTACGACTCAGGCGGGCGGGGCATTCGCATCTTCGACACCGTGCTGAAGATCATGGTCGCCCTGATCGTGCTCAGCTTCTTCGGCGTGGTGGTTCAACTGGCCACATCCGAGGACGGGCTGCCGTGGAACGAGATCTTCGCGGGCTTTGTGCCCAACTTAAGCCAATGGTCGAGCCCGGCCAGTTCGTTTGAACCTTATATCGTGGCCTCGGGCGAAGCGTATCGTTCGTTCTGGACTGATGAGATCGTCCACCCTGCAGCGGAACGTGATGATCGCGGCCATCGCCACCGCCGTGGGCATCAACATGACGTTCCTCTTGCCGTACTCGATGTTGAATCGCGGCTGGGATAAAGAATTCCGCGGAATGGCGATCTTCGATCTTTCCACCGGCATGGCCATCCCGTTTGTACTGGTGACCAGTTGCGTGGTGATCGCCTCGGCCAGCCAGTTTCATACGAAGGCCGACGCGGCGCTGATGGCGATGGACGCCAACCAGCCGGCATCGCAACTTAGCGGGTACGAAGGCACGCTGAAGAAACGCCTGGAATTGGAGATTGGGCCCGAGGAGTTTGCCACCCTCTCAGAAAACCCCGAGCAGATGAAAGCTGCCCTGCAGGCACTACCTGAAAGCGACAAGCAGCTTTCAGCCATGATCGTGAAGCGGGACGCGTTCGCTTTGTCCAGCTCGTTGGAACCGCTGATGGGCAAGCGGTTCGCCAACTTGGTGTTCGGCATTGGTGTGTTAGGCATGGCCGTATCGACGATCATCATTCTGATGCTGATCAGCGGATTCGTGATCTGTGAGATGCTCGACTTGCCGCAAGGCGGCATGACGCATCGCCTGGGGTGCCTAGCCGCAACGGTTGGTGCCCTGGGTCCCTTCATCTGGCAAGGCAAGACTCAGTTCTGGCTGGCGGTGCCCACTTCGGTGTTCGGCATGGCCTTGTTGCCGATCGCCTATATCACATTCTTGTTAATGATGAACTCGCAGAGCTTGCTGGGTGACGAAGGCCCCCAAGGGCTGAAGCGGTTGTGGTGGAACCTGTGCATGATTGTGGCCACCGGGTTTGCCACAGCGGCCGCATCGTGGAGCGTGTGGAGTTCGGCCCATTGGTACGGAGTGGCCGGGGTCGCCGTCTTCGTCGTGCTGGCCCTGATCGCCAAAGCCAAACAGCCGGCCGTGGCATAATCCGACGTGAACGGCTTCCCCGGACGCACCTCCACAGGAAAGCTGCAACGTTTGATGTGTTCTGCTTAGGCCACTGCCGCTTGCCAACGTCCAGAGAGCACAGCGGCTCCACCCACGGCTCCATCGACTGATACGGGTGGGCAGATGATCGCCCGCGGGCTGCGGATGGTGTGCTCGGGCTCGTACTTGACGGTGGGCGTTTCGGCCGGATCGGTTTCCGGGTCGCGAGTTTCAGTGGCAATTTCGGCGTCGAGGTATCGGCAATAACGCACCAGCGTGTTCTCCGCTGCATCGGCACCCTTCACAGCAATGCGGGCCACGCCGCGGGGAAGTGCGGCGGTCGACAGGACGACTTCCCGGTCGGGATGGTGGTTTCGCAACTCGTGGATCAGCTCGCCCACGGTGGATTGTCCAACGGTCGACAGGGGATGAAAGCTGTTGGCGGCCATGATTCGTTCTCCGATTTCAATTCCCGGCCGCGAGACCTCATCTCCCGCAACCGGCGTTTTGTATTCACTTAAGGAGCCACCATCCTGGCCACCCCGAGAGCGTTCTACTTAGTGAAGCGCAGATCGGGGAGAAATGTGACTTAGCGTGATTTCAAACCCAGGCGCGGGTGCCACTGCCGGCTTGTCCAGCAGTGAAAAGCCCGCCATGAGCACCGCTAGACGAGCTAGCGGTGGCACCCTCGCTCTAGTGGTTCTTGGACTCGATCCGCTTCCACGGAGAAAGGCAATCGCTACTCGCCCGCGTCTTCCAAGGCAGGAACGACTGGCGGGGAGGTTTCCACAACCGGTTCCCCGCGGCCCCAGCGGTAGAGGGTGTGGAACACGGCGTTGGTGGCCAGAATGCCCAACAGGGCGGCTCCCAGCGAAAGGCCTGTGACGCGTTCCTCGACGACCGTCCAGAAGAACTGCCCGACGCAAAGAATCGATACGAATACCAACGTCGGCGTACGGGGAATGCGGTTCACCACCGCCGCACCAAAGGGGGCGCCCAAGGCCACCACCGGCGCGGCGGCGATCCAGTTGGCGAACACTTGTGGGTCGATGTGATAGAGCCCCGGATTGATTTGGCTGAGCAGGAGATTGCTACTAATGCCCACCAGCGAGGTGAAGGCCATCGCCACGACCGACGTGGGAATGGCGATTTTCAAGTCGGCCTGATACAGCAACACAAGCGTGGCGTAGACGATCATGTCGATGCCCACGCCGGTGATCGAGGCCACCACGCCGCCCAACACACCAACCGCCAGCCCATGCACGCGGGTCCAAGCTTGCCAGCGATGGTTCTCCCCGGTAGCCGCAACGAACTCGCGAAGCTTCATCAGGTGCATGATGCCAAAGCTGGCCCAAACCACGGCGAAAATAAGCTTCACCGACAGGTCCGGGACAAAGGGTGCCACGGCAGTCGCACCAAAGATGGTTCCGATGAGCGAACCGACTAGAGCCGGCTTCAATAGGGCCCAATCCACAGGATGACGGGCAGCAAAGATGTAGATGCTGGCCGAGACCATGCCAATCGATTGAACGGCCAGGCCAAAGTTGCGCCCGACCGACCCGGGCATTTCGAACAGCAACACCAACACGGGGAAGCCAACCGTTCCACCGCCCATGGGTGTCGAGCCGGCAACGTAGGAACCCAACGACATGGCCAGCGCGATGGGCCAATGCTCTGCGACGGTGCTCCAGTAGCCACCGCCAATCACTAGCAACAGCCATAGCGAGTAGAACGCGGCCAACCACAGGAAGAAGTATCGCAAGGTCCGTTCGCACAGCCGGATAAGGCTAACGCGCTCCTGAGGTCTTCTTGCTGGTGACTTGCCCGTGGTTGGGTAGTTCTGAAAACGGTTGTGCGAGGCGGATCATGATTCGATCCAGTTGCAGCTTGCGTCGTCGTGCGGACGTCGGGCAGTTCTCAAAAGCCTGGTCAGTTGTTCGGCCTGGCGGGGGCTGAGATGCCCGAGTTGTTGGGCGTGCATCTTGGCGATCTCCGGTCGCATCCGCTTCAGTAAACGTAGCCCACTGGGGGTGATGCTGACTTCGACCACGCGACGGTTATCGGCCGGCCGGCTGCGGCGAACCCAGCCGCGTTTCTCCAGGCGGTCGAGTAGCCGGGTGGTGTCAGGTGCCCGGGAGATGAGCTTGCTGCCCAGGGCGAGCGACTGCATGGCGGCGGGGGCAGCCGCCTCGAGCAACCGCAAGGCGTTGTACTGCTGCGGGGATAGCTCGAACCGAGCGAACAGCTCGTCTTCAATGGCCTTCAGGCAGTCGTACGTTCGCCACAGGTTCAGGAATACTTCCTGCTCCCGCGAGTCGAAGTTCATCGTCACCGGTTCGGTTTCTGTCGTGGCCATGCCGGTAAGTTTCCCGCGGGGCCCTATAAATGTCAAGACAATAGTTGTTGGAACAAGTATCGGTTGACGGGGGATCGCAGGATGAGCAAAAGGTGGGGATCACCCTTGGAGGGGGCGAGTTCGAAAAGGGCTACAGGCGGGCCCCGACGTCTTCGATCACCTGCCGGCAGTCGGGGAGTGACTCAAGCAGCAACTTGCCGTAGTGCTTGGTCAGTACCCGGGGGTCGAGAATCACGACCGAACCGGAATCGCGGGCCGTGCGAATAAGGCGGCCGAAGCCTTGCTTCAGCTTCAACGCCGTTTCAGGAAGCTGATAGTCGCGGAAGGGATTACCGCCGGCCGTGCGAATCGCCTCCATCCTGGCTTCAAACAACGGACGGTCGGGCACGCTGAAGGGCAGCTTGGTGATGATCACCGTCCGCAGAGCTTCGCCCGGGATGTCGACCCCCTGCCAGAAACTATCGGTGCCGAAGAGCACCCCGCGGGGGTTGGCTTTGAACTGCTCGACCATCCGCGAACGGGGAACACCGTCGGCCTGGGAGTAGAAAGCCAGGTTGTGCTGAGCCAGCCACGGCGTGAGTTGTGTGGCGGTGCGGGTCAGCATGTCGTAGCTCGTGAACAGGGCGAAGGCGTGACCGTCGCTGCGGGCGATGTACCGGCGCAACATCTCGACCACATCACGCTGATAGCCATCCTTGTCGAGGCTCGGGTCGGCCATGCCGCGGATCAGCACCAGTTCAGCCTGCTTCTGGTAATCGAAAGGGCTCCCCAACGAAACGGCGTCGGACTGGGGAATCCCAATGCGGGACTTGAAGAAGTCGAAGTCCTTCTTCTTTCCCACCGACAACGTGGCGCTGGTCATGATCACGCTATCGACTCGTCCGAAGAGATCGTTCCGCAACGCAGGGCCAACATCCAACGAAGCAGCGGCCAACGTGGTGCGGCGACGGCGACCGGCCGTGTTCTCAACCCAATACACGCAGTCTTCCAGGGCCTGCCTTCGCCAGGCTTCAATCTCTTCGGCCATGGCACGAATGCGATTCGAAGCGGCTACAAAATCTTGCCGTTGCTCGGGGGCTTCAATGATCTTGGCGTGCTCGCCGATCTCCCGGGCGAGCTTCAGCAGCGCAGGGCTCAACGGGTTTTCGACCACATCGGGGCGATGCACGCGACCGTTGCTTCCACCCTGGTCGTCGCGCCAGTAGGCCACCTCATCAAAGAAATCGCCGGCGCGATAACGGCACTCATCGACCACCCGTTGCAGGTCAACCAAGTCCTGGTGCACCAACAGCCCCCGTCCGGTGCGGTCGTTGTACAGGCGATTCAGCTGGTACTCGATCTGACTCGACGACACGCGGGCGCCCAAGTGATCGGCGGCCACCGCTTCGAGATTGTGGGCTTCGTCGAAGATGGCCACTTCGTAATCGGGCAGGATGCTGGCCCCATTGCGACGCAGCGCCAGGTCGCTGAAGAACAGGGCGTGATTCACGACCAGAATCTGCGCGTGCTGCACGCGACGTCGGGCTCGGTAGTAAAAGCACGTGTTGTACGTAGGACAGTTGCGGCCCATGCAGTTTCCGTGGTCGCTGGCCACTTCGTCCCACACTTCGGGCGAGGGGCGAAACTCCAGGTCGCTCCGCGAACCGTCGTGACTGTCGTGTGCCCACGAGCCCAGGTGTTGCAGCTCGTCGATGTATTCGTCTTTGAAGAACAACGAGGAGGCCCGCCGCTGGGCATTCTGCAACCGGCGGCGGCTGAGGTAGTTGCCGCGGCCCTTCACCAGCACGGCGGAGAACTCCAGCGGGATGACCGCCGAAAGCAGCGGCAGATCCTTCTGCATCAACTGTTCTTGCAAGCTGATGGTGTGGGTGGAGATGACCACGCGACGCACGGCGGGGTCGCCACTTTCAGTTTCGCCCGCGGTGGCGAGGATGGCGGGAATGAGATAGGCGAAGCTCTTCCCCACGCCCGTGCCGGCTTCGACGATAAGATGCTTGCGATCGGTGATCGCATTGTTGACCGCATCGGCCATGGCCAGTTGCTGCGGGCGCATCTCGTAGTGATCGAGCCGGGCAGCGACGCGGCCGGTGGGACCAAGAATGTCCGCCGGGGTGAGCTTCAATGCAAAGTTCTCTCAAGAGATGCCACGCGAGCCTGATGAGGGGCGCGAGCCGGGATCAACGCTTCCTTGGTTCTTACCGCTTGCCTATGGGTGGCCCAGCCGCGGCGGCTGGGTTGCCGCAGGCAACAAGATGCCGTGAGATAATTGTTGCAAGCCAGAAGAAATCACCTTCGGTGGCGGGACTTCCGCCGCGACACGAAGACTAAAACTCCAACCCACACGGTATGTTCGACTTTCTCCAGTGCATCCTGTCGGCTGCGCCGACCCAGCCGATGCGGCTGGGCCACCCGGTGGGATTAACGCTTCCTTGGTTCTTACCGTTTGGCCGAGGCCACGACGCCCTCGGTGGGGCTGCTGGCCGTGGCGTAGAGCCGCTTGGGAATGCGGCCCGCCTGGTAGGCGAGTCGGCCCGATTCAACGGCCCCTCGCATCGCGCGAGCCATCGCCAACGGGTCGGCCGCGTGCGCGATACCCGTGTTGAGCAGCACCCCGTCGACGCCGAGTTCCATGGCGATGGTCACATCGCTGGCGGTACCAACGCCCGCATCGACGATCACCGGGTAGTCCGGATCGTCTTCCTTGAGGTATTCCAGGCAAATGCGAATGTTGTTGGGGTTCAAGATGCCCTGGCCCGAACCAATCGGGCTGCCGGCCGGCATCACGCTCGAGGCGCCGGCCTCTTTCAATCGCTTGGCGGTGACGGGATCGTCGGAGGTGTAACACAGCACGTCGAACCCTTCGTCGACCAGTTGCCGCGTGGCTTCGATGGTGGCCACGGGGTCGGGCAGCAAGGTACGGGTGTCGCCCAACACTTCGAGCTTCACCCAATCGGCCCCGGGGTTCTCCAGCCCACGCAGAATCTCCCGCCCCAACCGCGCCACCCGCACGGCATCTTCGGCCGAGAAGCAGCCGGCCGTGTTGGGCAGAATGGTGTAGCGCGAGAGGTCGATGTAATCGAGGATGTTGCGGCCCTCGCGATCGACGAGCCGCTCGCGGCGGACGGCCACCGTGATGCAATCGGCGCCGGCCAACTCCAGGGCTTCGGCCATTTGCTCGTAGCTGGCGTACTTGCCGGTACCGACAATCAATCGGCTGGTGAGCTCGTGACGACCAATCTTGAGAGTATCGGGCGCGGCGGTTTCGGTGCTCATGGCTTTAGCCTCCTCCGACCAGGGTGACCACTTCCAATTGGTCGCCGTCACGCAGTTGGTGGTCGTGATGTTTTTCGCGGGGAACGAGTTCCAGGTTGACCTCAACCCCGACGTAGCGCGGTTCCAACCCCAGGTCGTCGATCACTGTCGAGACAGTGGCCCCCTCGGCCACGGTCTTCGCTTCTCCATTCACGATGATCTGCACGACTTCGACTTCCTTGCGTCGCGAAACGCATGAGCCACGGGACACCGCATTATTATACGCAGTGAACCAATTGTGGAATGAAACGCCTGGGGCTTAACCGCCACGGATGGCCGTGGTGCGGAACTGGCGAACGTCCAACGGAACCAGCTCGCCTTGATACGTTTTGCCTGAGTTGATGGTTTGCTTGAGGTACGGGGTCATGTAGGCGGCCACTTTTCCCGAGGTGAGTTCGGCCACATACACCACCGCAGAACTAAGCTGCTCGCGAGAGCCCTGGTTGCGGAGGTTGATGCGTCCGGTGACCATCAGATAACGGGGGTTTTTGGTCGCATCGACTTCGAGGTCTTTCAACACGTTGTAGGAATAGAAGCTGTTGAACTTGCCGGTTTGCAGGCTCAGGGCGGCGGCCTTTAAGTCGCCGGTGAGGAAATCGAGGAAGTAGACAGCCTCGATATCGTTGTCCAGGCTGCCGGTGGCTATGGCGAAGTTCTCGTAGCGATCGGTCGCCGTGGCGTGCGCGAATTGGGGGCCAAAGGGGTTTTCGGCCAGCACTCGTGACGAATCGCTCGAACCGATGGCAAACGCCCCCATCGTCAGCCCGCCGAGAATCGCGCCGGCGGTCAGCCCGATCATCAACACGATGACATGGGAGAGGGGAATTTGTTTTCGCAGCATGAGATACTCCTCGTTCCAGTCGCCCACTGCCCGATGGGTGCCGCGGAAGAAGTTCACCCTCCCGGCACCGTCGCTGGCACGCCCTATTTCCAGACTTCCCGTATCGTACTTGGTTCGTAAGTCGCGTGCCAGCCGCCGGGAATTGCTGGGCAATTCTTGCCCGGGGCGCCTGCTGCGAAAGCCGTTGGCATGTGTTACAAGTAATGGCCTTCGGCCCTCGGTCGAAACTCGGCCTGTGGGGTCGGGCTTGCGTGTCTTTCTGTCTACTTCAGTTAATCCATAGGAGTTTGCATCGATGTCCACGAATCCTCCGCTCAATCGAAAGCTACGTATGGCCCTGGTCGGCGGCGGTCAGGGTTCGTTCATCGGTCGCGTGCACTGCACCGCTGCCGTGCTCGACAATCGGGCCGCCCTGGTGGCCGGAGCTCTCTCTTCCAACCCAGAACGGGCCAAAGCCTCGGCGGCCGACTACGACATTCCGCCCGCACGGGCCTACGGATCGGTAACCGAGCTGATCGAAAGCGAAAGCAAACTGCCCGAGGACGAGCGGATCGATTTTGTCTCGATCGCCACGCCCAATCACACGCACTTCGAAATCGCCAAGGCGGCCGTCGAAGCCGGCTTCAACGTGATGTGCGACAAGCCGATGACGTTTGATCTCGATCAGGCCGAAGCCCTGGCCGACGCGGTCGACAAGTCGGGCGTGGTGTTCGCCGTCACGCACAACTACACAGGCTACCCCCTGGTGCGGCAAGCCCGCGAGATGGTGATGGCCGGCGAGCTGGGCGAGATTAACGCCATTCGCTCCAACTACCTGCAAGGCTGGTTGCGAAAGCGGATCGAAGACGAAGACCAGAAGCAAGCCGCCTGGCGCACCGACCCTTCGAAGAGCGGCGCAGCCGGATGCTTTGGTGACATCGGCACCCACGCTTACAACCTGGCCCGCTACATGACCGGCCTGCTACCGACGGAGATTTCTTGTCACCTTCGCACGTTCGAGGGCGGGCGGAAGTTGGACGACTACGGGCATGCACTGATCCGTTTCGAGAATGGCGCCTTGGGCACGGTCACCGCCTCGCAAATTAGCCACGGGCGGGAGAACGATCTGTTCATCGAGATCGACGGCACCGAAGGCTCGTTGCAATGGCGGCAGGAAGAACCCAACGTGATGGTCTACCGCCGCAACGGGCATCCCCACGCGTTGTATACCCGCGACCCGAACGCCCCCTACATGAACGCCAGCGGCGCGGCCGCCTGCCGGCTGCCCAGCGGACACCCCGAGGCGTTCTTCGAAGCGTTCGCCAACGTCTATCGCGCCACGTTCGACAACATGGCCCTCCGCGCCACCGGCAAACCCTTCGAAGCCCGCGACACCGTCTACCCCAACATCAACGACGGCGTCGAAGGCATGTACTTCATCCAACAAAGCGTCGCCAGCAGCAACGACGGCGGAGCCTGGCTGCCACTACGGCACGAACGGGCAAGGAAGTAGGGCGGGATGGGGTCCGCTGTGCGGACCAATGGCTCCTGAAGTCTGGATGCGCATCCTGTCGCCAAGCTGACGGTGGCGATTCTAATGAATGCTATTTGCCCAAATCGTAATGCGACACTCTTGCTGTGGTTGCTGTGGTTGCTGGTTCTGCTGAACTTGGCTGTGCTTTCTGGCTGCGGAAGTTCAGCTCCTGGCAGAAGCTTGCCTCTGGAAGCGTCGGAAGTCTTTGATGATCCCGGTGCCGCAGCCCTCTCAGCGGCGGCCGAGCGAGGCGACGTCGCGGAGATACGGAGGCTCGTCCAGGAGGAAGGAGTGGACGTGAATCATGTAGGCGAACAAGGCATTACTCCCTTACTTCGCGCGCTCTCACGGAAGAATTGGGAGGGGTTCAGCGAATTGCTCGCATTGGGAGCGGATCCGAATCCTCAAATGTCAAACGGTGGAACCGTAATGAATTTGGCTGCAAGGCTCACGGGAGAACCACGTTGGTTGAGCCTAGCGTTGGAGCACGGCGGGAATCCAGATTTGCCTAACAGAATGAATCCGAATGCTCACGGAGCCACACCAATCTTTTATGCAATCGCTGAGCACAATGTCGAAGGCGTGCAGGTTCTTATCCATGGAGGTGCAGATGTAGACTTCGTCGATGATTTAGGGATGGCGCCGATTCATGAAGCAGGTGATTTCTCCTACTGGGACATCGTCTACCTCCTCTTGGAAGCAGGAGCCGATTACGAAGCAAAGAACCGCCATGGTGTCGATATCGAGATGCGATTGAAAAAGACCGAAGGTCTGGAGCCGAAGGGGCCGGGCCAAGCAGAAGCTCGCGAAAAAGTCATCGCCTTTCTGAAAGAGCATGGAGTCGAAGTAGAATAATGTCACCCGCCAAGGTGGTCGGACCCCGGGTACCGGGTACCACCGGATCTTGATCCGGTGCGGCGCAGCCGCCAGAGGCTCTACCTGAAGCTCGGCCCTCGTCGATGAAGCGGTCATGGCCGCGGTATTTGGCAGCAGCAGGTCCACTTCCTTCAAAGCCAACTCGCCCGCAAACTCTCTTGTTGTCTTCGACGACCCCGCCTCAAGAAACGGGGCCGCCCGTGAGAGCGGCCCCGAGCAGTTTGGGTGTTCAGTCACCCAACGCGCATCGAATGGATTAACTGGCTACCAGGTCATCAATGAGACTGTAGCCCATTTCCATGGCAGCCGTCATTCCAGTCGCCAGGGCCGCATCGCGGGCTTCTTTCGATGCGTACTCAATCACCGTGGTGACTGAGGTGGCTCCGTTCCTCCCCTCGAAAGTGAACGTGACGACTGTCTCGTTGCCCAGGTCGTCTGCGGCGTCGCCTAGTCCAAACTGTTCCTTTTGGACAATTTTGGTCAGGGCCTCGATTTCGCAGATTTCACCGACAAGGCTAATCTCGGTGCCGTCTTCGTCATTTCGGAATCGGTTTTCGTACCGACCGCCTACTCGGAAGTCCATCTCGCAGACGGGCATCGACCAGCCCGGCGGCCCAAGCATCCAACGGCGAAGCAACTGGGCTTCGCTGAAGCATTTCCATACCAAGTCGACAGGCGCATCGAAGCGTCTCACAACCTCAACCTGGGTGTCGGAAGAGGTTTCAAAAGTGGCAGTCTTCATTTTCTCGTCCCTTGTACAGATAGGTTCAAACTCGGCTATATCGGCCATCTGGATCAAACGCGGCTGATTGGTCGCCCAAGTCAGCTCTTGGAGCTATGGGGCCGCAGAACGCTTTGGGTACACGACCACGCCTCGGGCTGATCCCACAGTCAGACTTTACCGGGCCCTGCTGACAGCGTACTGTCAGGAGACTGTCAGTAATTGGAAAATTCCACACCGACTGATGTCCGGAACACCGCATGCGCCGAGCCGACCGCCTTTTTCGAATCGTCGAGTATCTCAAGGCGCGCCGCGAGGCAGTCACCGGAGAGGAGCTTGCCTCGGAGATGGAAATCGGCGTTCGCACGATCTACCGCGACGTTGCGGACTTGCGATCTTCCGGTGTTCCAATCGTTGGTGAGGCTGGCGTCGGCTATCTGCTAAGTCGCGACTACCTCGTTAAGCCGCTCATGTTCGATGTCGAGGAGCTGGACGCTTTGTCTCTCGGAGCCCAAATGGTCGAGAGCTGGGGAGACGCTGCTCTTGCCCGTTCGGCCCGTCGGGCCATCGACAAGATCGCGGCCGTCTTGCCGGAAGCGCTGGCCCAAGACGCAACGCAATCGGCAGCCTACGCCTGCTCAAGCCGCAGCAAACTGCCGATCGCGATTGATCTCACGTCTTTGCGTCGTGCGGTCCGCAGCAAGCATGTGATTGAAATCCACTACACCGATGAATCTGGAAGAAAGTCCCAACGTCGGATTCGCCCCTTGTGCCTCGTCTTCATCGCACCGGTTTGGCTTCTTGCCGCGTGGTGCGAAGCCCGTCATGATTTTCGTGAATTCCGTGTGGATCGCGTCACAAGGATGAAAATCACCGACGAACGCTTTCGCGACGAGAAAGGGAAGACCATCAAGGATCTACAGCAACGAAATCGGAAGCGTAACAGCTCTCGCTAAATGGGGAGACACAAGAATGGCCCAACCCACCTTGCGTGCATCGATTCACTCCACCGGCTACCAACGGAACTCGATCCGGTGCAGCGCGGTCGCTAACCTTCCAGCAATGCCAAGTCGCCCGCAAACCCTCTTATCGTCTCCGACGACCCCGCTTCAGGAGGCGGGGCCACCCGCGTGAACGAGTAGTCGCATACATTGGGATGAGACGAGTACTGCGGTTCTGAAGTCGCTTACGATGCACCAATTGCACTTCTACGAAACGGTGCCCAACTCATTCAGCACCCATCCGATTAGGCCGAGCTTGAATCTCGCTGATGTTAGCCCAACCTCATGCACATAGGGACTAGTGTGCCGCAGGCGATTTTCGGCCTGCCATAATGCATCCGTAGGGCGCAATCTGATCAACCACGGTCCCAAGTTCAAAGTGAGAGATCTGCCTCTGCACCTCTTCGGCGTTCTTGTATGCACTGGGGAGTTCAGATACATCGATGGTGCCGGAGAAGAAGCGGATATCGAGGCCTTGGGTTTCCTCAGCGAGAATCTCCTCTGGAGAGGCCCCCGAAGCGAGCCGCCCCCGCTTGTGTTCGGTCCGGCTCATGTTTCTTCCAGCGCCGTGAGGAGCGAAGCCTAGGTTGGTCTCTGTCGTCTTTCCGCGGACCACCAGCACGGGCTCCGCCATGTTGAGCGGAATCAACCGGAGCCCATTCGTGGAGTCCGGCAGAAACTTATCGTCGAGCGGCGTGGCTCCCTTGGCGTGGAAGTAGCGGTCTTTTCCGCCGGAGCCCGACCCCGGCTCACGAAACACAAAGTTGTGCTCATTCCAGAAGGTACTCTCTGCGGCCAGGTTGTCGCAGTTCTGGATTAGTCCGAGCGCTTTGGCGGTCAGCCGATGAATGAGCGAATGGTTCAGCTTGGTCCAGTCTCTGATAATCTGTAGCGCATCCCAGTACGCTCTTCCCTGCTTCGAGCTTGCAGGTATCCAGGCGTTCTCGGCGGGAGTCTCTGGTGAGAGTACCGAGCACAGTTCTTCTGCAATTCGCCTCCCGGTCTCGTAAAGACTTGCGCCGAAGGCACGGCTCCCGTGGTGAGTAACGAGCATGACACCGCCATGCGACTCACTTCGCCCCACGAAGAGGAAGTGATTGCCATCCCCTTGTGTCACAAGGTGGAGTTGAGCCTTCTTGAGGTCTCCGTCTGAGAAGAGGGGGTTCGCGCGGATGCGTTGAATGAGATCCTCGTTGAGATGTTTGAATAGCCCTGCGCTCCTCTTCCGTCCACCGGTCCCGAAGTGTGTCACGCTTCGGGCCGCGTCGAGCACGGTCTTCGGATCAATGTCACTGCCGAGATTGGTCGCCATCACCGAGCAACAGATGTCCGAGCTGTGGAACCCTGGGTGAATGGCGTCTTCGGCTACGACCACGCCACCAACAGGGATTGACGTGGGGCCCGTTGGACAAGCATCTGGCATGACCGCCCCGTCCACCAGCGTTGGGGTGCGCATCAACTCGTCCATAGCCGCAAATACGGCGTCAACATTGGACCGCTCACGTTCGCAAGCCTCTGGCGAACTCTCGAGGTTTCGGTGGTATCTCATGTCGTGTGCCTCACGACCCAGTCATCTGTCAGTCTCTGCCGCCCGCCTATGAACGGTTGCCCCGTAATACTGCGTGTACCCTTAGCCTCATGTGTGCGACAACTCTGGTGTCCACCGGGTTCGCCTGGATCTTTCCGAGAAGTCGGCTCACTGATCCTAACTAGATTCACTAACCTCCACAGAATTGAGCCTCACCAGGCTCCCGCCCACTGAATCTCCGCTTCTGGGTGGTCTTGCATGATGGGTGAAGGTCCCTCCACGCCAGCTTTTGTGCTCACCTCGACTGAATCCCATCCCTAGCCTGATCGACGCTATCTGATTGCTTCCTGGTGAGATCTTCCGGTTAACCGGGTACCACAAGATCTCGATCCGGTGCGGCGCAATCGCCAGAGGGAATTCACAAATTGCTTGGCCCCGGTCGATAAAGCGAACCGGCTCGCGATATGCAACTGCAGCCGCTAACCTTCCTGCAAGGTCAAGTCGCCTGCAAATCCTCTTGTCGTCTTCGACGATCCCACTTCAGGAGCCGGGCCCGCACGCGTAAACCTGCACAGACCAATGCAGCTGAACGCAGCTTACGATGGGAAGCATTTGCCGAAACGCATGAGCCAGAGCGGTGAACCTCGGAGCCGTATGCGGAGAGTCAGCAGGGCCCAGGCGAGGCTTTTCTCGCGTTTCAAAAAGGCAAGCCAAGCACTGCTGTCGGCAGTCACACGCAAGTTCGCCTTCCCCACCCAGCCAGAGGAGATCTCGAGTTTCTGCCCTGCGATGCGCACGGTTGCATCGCGGTTCTCAGTTCCAGTGAAGCGGAAGTGATAGGTCGCGTCGAGGCCTTTCGCTTGGCCCGGCTGGAACTGCAGTGGCATGTATTTCAAGAAGCTGTCGATCGACCCCGGGTGTAGATTACCACGGACGGACCGGGGTTTCTTGTGCGGAAAACGCTTGGCGACGTGCTCCGCCGCGTCCGATCCGGGAATGACATAGACGTCCTCTTCTTTCTCTTGCAGCGGTCGTACGACTGTGGTGAGATGCCCCTTGCGATCAGCGAGCCAGGGCGAAATCACATCCTCTCCCGCTGGGCACACCGCCAGACAGTACGCTGCCTTGTAGTTGGCCCCAAACGAAAGGCTCTGCCACATTGAAGCCGACTCGCCATCGGACACGCGTTTGCGATACTCCCCTCGACTGCGACTTTCGGCCAACTGTTCGGCCCAATCTGTGAAGCCCCCCATGAACTCACGATAGTTGTGCGTGTAACAGGCGTTGAAATTGAAGTCGCCTTCTGGCGAGATTGCACCGACGGGACACGCGGCCACACAAAGTTTACAGCCCAAGCAAGGGTTGTATTCAATCGGCTGGTCGTCGGTCTGAATCTCTTGCCCAAGCAACACCGTTCCCAGCAAGACGAAGTTGCCGAACTTGGGGTGTATTACGTTCCGGTGGATGCCTATCTGCCCTAATCCGGCAGCGACCGCCACGGGTTTGTGTGAAACGTCCCAGATCTTTCCGGGGAATCGATGTGCCTCCATTGGGAATCCCATAGCCGGGTTCATCGCCTGCACGCCACGCCCCTGCAACTGGCGGACCACACTCCTGGCTACATCGTTGACCTGATCGCCCGTGTTGTGGAACTCAAGATTCGCCGCCGAACGCATGGTGCTGCGGATCGGCTCGCGGTTCATCGTGCAAACAAACGACAGTAGCGAGCGGGTCCACGGCGCAACGCGGAGAATATCGTCGCGCTGATCATCGATTTCTGGACGATCGATCGAAACCAGCCCAGCATCATCCGCGCCACACTCGATACAGAGTTGCTTCAGTTCTTCGTTCGTCAATGGCCGCGTTGCGCGACCCTCAGCAGACCGCACTTTGATGACTGTCGGGTGCTCTTCGATTTTGGACATTGGCCAATCCTCACACGACTTACTTGCAAATCACCAGCGATTCTATCGCTTGCAAACTGCAAGTCCATGGCCTATCATGTAAGAAAATTGCCAACCTCTCTCCAACCGAAACACGATGCCACCCAAGCCAAAACGTTCGCCCTGCCCGATTGCATGTACGCTCGATCTCCTGGGCGACAAGTGGACGCTGCTGATTGTCCGAGACCTGTTGCTGGGTCGCTCCCACTTTCGAGAATTCCTGGCCTCGCCGGAGCGAATCGCGACCAACATCCTCTCCGACCGGCTGTCAAAGCTTGTGAATGCCGGGCTGGTCGACGCGCTGCCTTCAGACGAACGTGCCGGTGCCACCGCATACCGACTGACCAAGAAAGGCAAGTCCCTGGCTCCGCTCATTAAAATGATTTCCTCATGGGGGCTAGAAAACCTGCCTGGAACCGCTGCCAAGTTGAAGCCAAAGAGCTAGCAAGCGAACAGTGGTTGCATGCCTCACAGCTTCGCTGGCAAGAGATTGCATCGACCTGCTCACCTTCAGCAGTCGGAACCTCCGATTCTGAAGGCATGGAAACAATCTCCTCAGCCTGAGGCATCTTCTGGTTGGGCGAACAAACCCAGGAGCCATACGGAATCCCGCTCGCTGAATCTCCGCTTCCGGGTGGTCTTGCATGATGGGTCAGAGTCCCTCCACGCGAGCTTTCGTGCTCATCTCAGCCGAATCGGAATCCCAGATTGATCGACGCTGCCTGAGCTTTTTGTGGTGAGATCTGCCGGTTAACGGCATTAGGCAGACTCGAGATTCACGCAACCGCTTCAACTTCGATCGATTATGCGTTACACTTGAAGACGCTCTTCGGTGGTGGATCCTCCCCTTGAAAATGGGTGGGGAGAGCGTATTAGTTGGACTTAGAACCACGCTGGAGGGCCGCATGTCTGCGACTTCTGAAACCACGGCATTTGCCGATCTTGAAGCTTCCACAAACCCGCACCGTGGGTTTGCTTTCGGACAGTGGGCTGAAACCATCGATGTCCGAGACTTCATCAACCGCAACTACCAGCCCTACACCGGCGACCACTCGTTCCTCGCGGGTCCCACCGAACGCACAAAGAACCTGTGGGCCAAGCTTTGCGAGCTGTTCGAAGTTGAGCGGGAACGCGGAGTGCTCGGTATCAGCCAGGTGCCCTCTTCGATCACGGCCCATGAGCCCGGGTATATCGACAAGGACGCCGAAGTCATCGTTGGCTTGCAGACCGACGCCCCTCTGAAGCGAGCCATCTTCCCCAATGGCGGGTGGCGAATGGTGGTCGGCTCGCTCAAAGCCTACGGTCTCGAGCCCGACCCCGCTCTGAGCGAGGTGTTCACCAAGTATCGCAAGACGCACAACGATGGCGTGTTCGATGTTTACACACCTGAAATTCGTCGGGCCCGTAGCGCGCACATCATCACAGGTTTGCCCGATGCCTACGGCCGCGGACGAATCATTGGAGACTACCGCCGCATAGCACTCTACGGTGTCGATCGCTTGATCGAGGAAAAGAAGGCGGAGAAAGTCTCGCTGCAGAGCGAATACTCTACTGAATCGGTCATCCGTGACCGCGAGGAGCTTTCCGAGCAGATCAAAGCCCTCAACGAGCTTGTGGACATGGGTGCGGCTTATGGGTTTGATCTTTCCAAACCCGCCAGCAACGCGAAAGAAGCCGTGCAGTGGCTGTATTTCGGCTACCTGGCCGCGGTGAAAGAACAAAACGGCGCTGCGATGAGCCTCGGCCGAACGAGCAACTTCTTGGACATCTACATCGAGCGCGACCTTGAAGAGGGCACACTCACCGAGGAACAGGCACAAGAGATCATCGACGACTTCGTGATCAAACTGCGCATCGTGAGATTCTTACGAACGCCCGAGTACGACGCGCTGTTCAGCGGCGACCCGACCTGGGTGACCGAGTCCATCGGCGGTGTCGCCACCGACGGCCGGCCGCTAGTGACCAAGAACAGCTTCCGCTTCCTCAACACGCTCTACAATCTCGGCCCAGCCCCCGAGCCGAACATGACTGTGTTGTGGAACAAAGATCTGCCCGAGGGCTTTAAGCGTTTCTGCGCGAAGGTAAGCATCGACACATCCAGCGTGCAGTACGAGTCTGATGACCACTTGCGAACGGTCGGCGGTGACGATACCGCGATCGCGTGCTGTGTCTCAGGCATGGAAGTCGGTAAGTCGATGCAATTCTTCGGGGCCCGAGTGAATCTGGCCAAGTGCCTGCTCTACGCAATCAATGGTGGCCGAGACGAGATTAGCGGCGACCAAATCATGCCTGCCTTCGAACCCATTCAGGGGGATACCCTCGACTACGACGAGGTTTTGAAGCGGCTCGATGTGGCCCTCGACTGGTTGAGTCGTGTTTACGTCAACGCCCTGAACTGCATCCATTACATGCACGACAAATACGCCTACGAGCGGATCGAGATGGCGTTGCACGACTACTCGCCCCGGCGAACGATGGCATTCGGCATCGCAGGGCTGTCGGTAGTCGCCGATTCGCTCAGCGCGATTAAGAACGCCACAGTTGAGTGCATTCGCGACGATACAGGACTGATTACCGACTATCGCGTCGAAGGCAACTTCCCAGCGTTCGGCAACAACGACGACGAAGTTGACGAAATCGCGGCCTGGCTCGTACGCACGTTCATCGAAAAGCTGCGCCAGCACCCCACGTATCGCAACGCCGAACATTCGTTATCGGTACTGACGATCACCAGTAACGTTGTCTATGGGAAGGCCACCGGCAGTACGCCCGATGGTCGTAAGTCGGGCGAGCCCTTCGCACCGGGGGCCAACCCTGTGCACGGTCGCGACAAGAGTGGCTACATCGCAAGTGCGATGTCGGTGGCGAAGCTGCCCTTCGAGGCAGCCAGAGACGGCATCTCGCTCACCAATACGGTCTTACCCTTGGCCTTGGGCAGCAACGAGCAAGACCGCGTCAAGAACCTTGCCTCCAGCCTGGACGGCTACTTCGGCTGCAACGGGTACCACATGAACGTCAATGTTCTCAACCGCGAGACATTGATGGACGCCATGGAGCACCCCGAGAACTACCCGCAACTCACCGTCCGTGTCAGCGGCTATGCGGTGAACTTCGTGAAGCTCACGAAGGAGCAGCAACACGAAGTAATTAGTCGCACATTCCACGAGTCGCTCTGAGTCGCAGCTCGCTGAACAGAGTAAAAGGGTACAGCCCCACTGCGTGACCGATGGCAAGCGTGATGCTGCCGAGTCATGCAAGGGGCGGACATCTTGCATTCATGGTTCATAGAAATCCCAACGCGATCACTCCGGCGAGCCAGCCTTTGCAAGACGCCGAGGAACATGCGCTGCAGGCTAGTGGTGAGATCGGGTATCTCCACAGTCAGTTCAACGCTTCGACCGTAGACGGTCCCGGGTTTCGCTACGTGGTGTGGCTGATGGGCTGCCACATGCGCTGCCAGTATTGCCATAACCCTGACACTCGGGCCATGCCCGCACAAGGCACGCGCTGCAAGCCCGAAGAGATCCTTTCCGAAGTGGCACGATACAGTGGCTTCCTTCGTGCCGCCGGGGGCGGATTCACAGTGAGCGGGGGCGAGCCCTTGGTGCAAGCGCCGTTTGCCATGAAGCTGTTCCGCGGTGCCAGGCAAATGGGACTGCACACCGCGCTCGATACCAACGGCTATTTGGGGGCGAAACTAACCGACGCGGATCTGGCCGACATCGACCTCGTGCTGCTCGATCTCAAGGCTTTCGATGACACCCAGCACCGTCGGGTAACCGGATTGGGAAATCACGCAGTCCTGGAGTTCGCCGAGCGACTGGCGACTCTCGAGAGGCCCGCCTGGATACGCTTCGTCCTCGTCCCCGGGCTGACCGACGAACCCGACGACATGCAGCAGCTCGCCCGCTTCGTCGCAGATCTGCCCAACGTCGAACGGCTCGAGGTACTACCGTTCCATCAGATGGGCCGAGACAAATGGCACAAGCTAGATCTGCATTATCCTTTGCAAGAAAAGCCTGCGGCCACATCAGAACAAGCCGAAGCCGCTCGGGCTGTCTTTCTCGAAGCCGGATGCGCCGTGCTATAGTGATACGATCACCTAGCACCTGGCCCTCGAAATCCACCTAGGTAAACAGGGCATAGGCTCATCACCAGGTTGACCTGTTTACACTCTCCTATTTCCTATGCAGCCGATTTGGATCTCAATGACTCAACGAAGAGCACTGTTGTCTGTCTTCTTGGTGACGCTTTTTGCCTCGTGGAGTTATGCGGGCGAGAGCGAGGTTGAGCCTGCCCCGCCGAAAGATGGCGTCAATCCAGCACCGCCGTTATCTGCCGACCTGCCAGAAGGGTATAGGCAACTGCCAACCTTCGGAGCCATCGAGTGGGAAACCCAAAAGCTACCCTGGGTCGAGGCAGGACCTTACGCGGGAATCAGCGGCGTCGCGATGGACGTCTACTCCGACAAGATCGTCCTGGCAGGAGGGTTTATTCCCGGCGGAGACGAGACATCCGATCGTGCCAGTCGCAAAACATCCCGCTGGACGTGGATCTATGATACCGCCAATCACACTTGGAACAGAGCAGCAGATGCCCCCGATCGCCGGGAGTATGGACGAGGATTCGTCGCCGGTGACACCTTCTATTTCATCGGCGGCGGTAAGCAATATCAGCAACAGTCGCCTCCGTATCGCCCTCACGCCGAGTGCTTTGCACTGGACCTCGCCGGCGTGCCTGCCTCGTGGCGAGAACATAGCAAGCTCAACGTACCTCGCACTCACATGGCCGTCGGCCAGGTTGGGAACTACTTAGTTGTTGCCGGTGGAAACGAATACGACTTTTCGGAGAAGGGCTATAGCGCCAATACGATTCGCAATACGACTGAAGTCTTTGACCTGACCGATCCCGATTCAGGCTGGCAGAAGAGGTCACCGATTCCCTCCGTAGGTCGTGGCTGGTCGGCCGCCGTTGCCACCCCGGAATATCTGTATGTTTTCGGTGGCGTCACCTGGAATGCAGACAACGAAACCGTCGGAGTACGCGAGACATGGCGATACAGCCCTCGGGATGATCAATGGGAGAAGAGAACACCTCCACCCGTAGCAATCTCCGGTTGGGCAGGAGCACTCTACCAGCAGCGCTACGCAGTGATCGTTGGTGGCATCATGCGAGAGAAAGACAAACCCAAACGCACCAGCTATTGGTCCGACCTGGTTTGGGTCTACGACATCAAGGACGACACGTGGTGGCAAGTCGAAGGAACCCTTCCACCCGGTGCAGTCTTCAACGACCCCGCTGTCGTCATCGTCGATGAAACCATCTACGTGCTCGGAGGCGAAGGACCCTCCGGCAGCCACTACAATTACTTTCTTATCGGACATATGAAGCCGAAGTAAACCGTGGCATGCTTCCTGCGAGCAAACCGGCGCAGCCTACTCGGCTCGTACGCCACACGCCGGTCGTAAGGTGTCCCTATCTCAAGCGAGTAGATAAGCCGCAGAACCTTCGTGGGTTTCACCGTACCAGTTCAAAAATCAGTGCTACCCGCGCTAAGAGACCCTTCTGAGCGAGCAGTCGCTCACTCACCCGAATTGGTTTGCCTTGCTATTGATGATCAACAACCATTGCGTGGATGCTTCGACTCAAGCCGCAGCGCTCGCACGCCTTTGCCAAAAGACCCGTCGTCAATGCGAATTCGCTACTACAGAATCGTCGGTAAGAATCGGGGGGATCGGCGCGCGCGGGTGGCCTGCTCAAAGGCAAATGCGTAACCGATCAATTTAAAGTCCTGAAACGCTCCGCTGAAAAAAGACAGTCCGACAGGCAAGCCGTGCACAAAACCGGCCGGCAAGGTGATGTGGGGATAACCCGCAACGGCGGGAGGTGTCGAGCAGCCGAAGGGCAAGATATTATCTCCGACGATCGGGTCGATCGCAAAAGGCGGTGACCCTTCCGTGGGGGCGATGATCGCATCGAGCTGATGTTCGGCTAATGCTTTATCAATGCCTTCAGTACGCGACAAACGGCGCAACTCATTTCGCACTTCCACGCACCTCGGGTCGTTCCAATCGCCCTTCGCTTGCGCCAACTCGAAGAACTCCTGCTGGAAGTACGGCATCACCTCCGTGGCGTGTTCTCGATTGAACTCGATCAGCTCGTCAAAGCTGCGAACATGGGCGTTCGGATGATTTGCCAAGTATGTATTGATGTTGGATTTTACGCCGTACTGAAACAGCTCCAATTCCAAGGGACCAAAGAACGGCAAAGTCGATGCTCGAACCGGATCGACAATCTCGGCACCTAACTGACGTAGGGTGTCGATGGCTTGTTCCATCACCATTCGCGTGCCTTCGTGATCCGAGAAACACTCGCGGGCAACGCCCAGTCTGGCACCGCGCAACGCCTCTGACTGAAGGGCGGCCCGATAGTCGGGCGGTCGACGACCGTCGGCAACAGCGGACGCGGGGTCTTGCGGGTCAGAACCTACGATCATGTTCATGACCGTCGCAATGTCTGCCACACAACGGGCCATCGGGCCGACGGTGTCCTGAGGTTCAGCGACTCCGATCACTCCGCACCGACTCACGAGTCCGACCGTGGGCTTGAGTCCGACAATGCCGTTGGCCGACGCAGGTCTGACGATCGAGCCATCAACCTCGGCTCCCATTGCCACGACACACAGATTCGCAGCGACCGCCGCGGCAGAGCCACTACTGGAACCAAGCGGACTGCGATCGAGGATGTAGGGATTGCGAGTTTGTCCTCCCCGGCTGCTCCAGCCACTGCAAGATCGGGTGGATCGCAGATACCCCCATTCGCTCATGTTGGTCTTCGCCAACAACACGGCTCCCGCCTCGCGCAGGCGACGAACAACCGTTGCATCTCGCGCGGCATAGTTGCCTGACAATGCCAACGAGCCGCCCGTCGTCATCATCCGGTCAGCCGTGTCGAGGCTGTCTTTTACGACGACGGGGATACCATGCAAGGGTCCCCTGACTTGGTGACTTCGTCGTTCATCGTCGAGAGACGCCGCAATTTCCAGCGCGTCGGGATTGACCTCGATGACACTCCGCAGAGTTGGTCCAGAAACGTCGACCTCTTCAATCCGCTGCAGCAGCCGCTGGCACATCATCTCCGATGTCCATTCACCGGATTCGAGTACTCGTTGCCAATCAGCGATAGCCCATTCCGGGAGTTCCATCATGCGGCTCAATCTGACCAGGTCGTTGAAGTACGAGGTAGCATCTCGAAATCTATATGCCCCGCGACTCCATCGTCAACGCTAGGTTCCTCTGGCTCCAGCCAGCACAGTGGGGTCCACTCTGCGGACCAATGGCTTCATGGGCTCCATCTTTGCGTAGCCAATGGATTGCACGTTCGTTGTCGATCCGCACAGTTGAGCTACTCGGCTCGAAGGCTAACCGCTGGCGGCAGGCATCCCTCTCTCAAGCGTGTAGATAGGCCGCAACACCTGCGTCGCCTTCGCTATCCCGGCTTAAGATCCGGTGCCACCCTCGACTGACGGCGTCGTGTCGCCCTTTCCTTCTTGCTTCTTTTTTTGGGCCGCCAGGAACTCTTTGCCGTGTCCATAGCGGGTGTTGACGGGAACTCCGTCGCGGCACAGCGGGCATTCTTCCGGCGGCCATCCCGGGGGCACATCGTAGTGGAGCAGGTAGTAATAATCGTCCACCCCGAGGGCCTTCGCGTCGAAATTGCCGACGAACACCAACGACACGGCCGCCACAACCTGCCCACCCGCCGCCCGCACGGCCTCGATGGTTTGTCGAATCGAATGGCCCGTATTCACGATGTCGTCAACCACCAGCACGTTGCGGTTGGAGACAAGCTGGTCGTAGCCGCGGCGGAGCACGAAGCGGCCGCGGATTTCGCCCGGTTGCGGGTCGGGGTCGTGCTCGGCAAAAGCGCACATCACGCCAAGTTCATGGGCCAACCATTCACCAACGACCAGCCCACCCATCGCAGGTCCGCACACGATGTCGATAGAAAGATCTGTAAGCCTTCGCGCCAGCAAACGGGCCAATCGTTCGATTCGATCAAGGTGCGGAAAGATCGCATCCTTGTTGATCGTCATCGGAAAGTGCAAGCCCGAGATATGCACGACATGCACGTCCTCAACGATGGCTCCCGATTCCCGAAAGATACGGAGCGTTTCCCCAGCAGCTTCATCGATCTCGTTTTGGTCCATTGAACATTTCCGTTTCGTCTGGGTGCCACCCGCTCCAGCCAGTGCCTTTTACTGGGTTTACCCAAAGAGTCTCACCAAACCAGCAATACATTCTTCCACAACACTCCGTTCCTGCAATTCTACCCAACACCCTGGCCTACTTTCCAACTCACCCCTTACGTCGTGCCGTGGTGCCGTCGTGGTTAATTCTCTTTTTCGAACCCACAACCACACCAAGCATTCACCACCAATCCTCACCCACAATCTTTCAACCACCAGGTGGCCGAAAACAAACGTTGCTATTCGGCCTTCTCTTTGACATCATCCTTGAGCATGGGTCCTGCGGCTTGCCTGGGGTTGTGGGGTCGATGGGGTGGGGCTTGGGCTCGGGGTTGACGGACCGCCGGGCGGGGCTCTGGTGTCGTGTGCTTAACGAGAGCGAGGATTGCGGTATCAGACGACGTTCGTAAGGGTGTCAATGCCTTAGGCAAACCAACCCCCACAACGTTTGACGACATCGAAGCGACTGCAACGGTGGACGCCCGAGACCGATGGCCAGGCGATCGGATGACGGGGTCACGCAATTCGAGGATCGCCCTCCGCAGCACAACCACACAGCCCCTCGATCATTCCCAAAATCGAGTCGTGGTTCCGGAACCACTTTTTTTCTTCTGCGATGCGATGAGGAAAAGACGCTTAGCAAGTCTCCAAATGATTCGATGAGTTTATTGGCGAATCGCCCGCAACTGGGGTTTCGATTACGATGAATCGACAACCCCGCGACCAAGGCGAGAACAGCGAATGACTGCTGACTGTGACGCGATCGTGATTGGCGGTGGCCACAACGGTTTGGTCTGCGCCTGTTATCTGGCAAAGGCGGGGCTGCGCGTCGTTGTGCTGGAAAAATATGGCTCGATCGGGGGCATGTCGAACACCGAAGAGATCACACTGCCGGGGTTCCATTCAGACACGCACGCCATTTGCATTCAATTCGCCAACTTTTCGCCAGTCCCGGATGAGCTGCGGCTGGCTGACTACGGCTACGAATTGCTGCACCCCGACCCGTGCTGGTCGCATCCGTTCCCCGATGGCCGCGCGATTTCGGTCTATCGCGATATTGATCGAACCTGCGAGAGCATCGGCCAGTTTTCCCGTCGCGATGCACAAACCTGGCGAACGCTTTATCAGGTGTTCCTGGAACAAAAGGACGCCATCGGTGCTTCCTTAAACAGCCCGCCGCCGGATTTCGCCGCTCAGGCGGCCGCAACCTCGTCGCCGGCTGGCCAGGAACAATTCAGACTGCAACTGCAAAGCCTGCGCTCGTGGTGCCATGAAACGTTTGAGGCCGAAGAAACGAAGTGCCTCGCGGCCGCTTGGGGCGTGCACGTGGGGGCGGCTCCCGATGATGTCGCGGGCGGGAGTATTGCCTGCCTGTTTTCGATGGTGGTCCAGCACTTTGGCAACAACGTGGTCGCGGGCGGCATGCGTCGGCTACCGTTGGCACTCGCCGGTTTTCTCGAAGCGCACCAGGGCAGCATTCGCGTCGACGCCCAGGTGAAACGCATCCTGGTTGAAAACGGCAAGGCACAGGGTGTCGAACTCATCGACGGTGAGCAAATCTTTTGCCGGAAGCTGATCGCATCGAGTGCCCACCCGCGGCACCTGGTGCTCGACATGTTGGGTGAAGAACAAGTTGGCCCCAGTGTTGCCAGCAAGATGCGGCGCTACGAGTTGGGCGACCCGGTGATGGTCGTCTATCTCGCGCTCGACGCTCCGCCGGAGTTTCGCGCTGGGCGCGACGTTAGCTCGTCGGTCTACACGCACCCCACCGACGCTTCACTGGAATACTTCTCCCGCAACTTCTCCGAAGCCCGCGCCGGTTTACTGCCTGCACACCCATTCGCCTTGGTCTGCAACGACGTAGCCGGCGACCCGAGTCGCGCACCCGAGGGCAAAGGGTTGATGAAGCTGGTCGTGCAGCCAGTTCCCTTTCGCATCGCCGGGGATGCTGCAGGACGGATCAAGGGAACCGACTGGAACGAAGCGAAAGAACCGTTCGCCGATCGAGTGATTGAACGGCTCGAATGGGAGTACATCCCGAACCTTTCGGAAAGAATCCTAAAACGTGTGGTTCACAGCCCGCTCGATATTGAGCAGATGTTACCAAGCGCCTTGGAAGGGACGAATTCCCACGGTGCCTTCTTGCCGTACCAGGTTGGACGCATGCGGCCGATTCCAGAATTGGGTGGTTACCGCTCCCCGATCAGCAACGTCTACCTCTGCGGATCAGGCAGCCACCCCGGACCCGGAATCACCATGGCCCCCGGCCGAAACGCAGCCCAGGTTATCTGTGAAGATCTAGGGCTCAACAGATAAGCCTGCTGCAGTTAAGACGCTCTTGAGAGAGTGCTACGCTGTGGCTCACAGTTCCTTTTCTGGAGAAGGCATATTGCACGATGAAACACCCGTTCAAACTCGATTGTGGGGAGTGGTTGTTGCCCAGATGCTCCTCGGTATTGCTCCACTAGCAACACATTCGCTCCCACAACACACGGGCTGGATGATGCCAGCGATGTGGGCACTCTCCTCAATTAGTTTCGCTCAGCTTATGCTGCTTTCGTTTTGGGTTGGAATGGGCAGCAATGCTGGAATAATTAGAGCCCTTGGATGGATTGTCGGCACTGCCTACATATCGGTCTGGCCGGTAGCATCGCCTTATGTATCCCCGCACTTCGAAGGTCAGTTACTGCCACCCTTCGCCAAAGAGTTGTTCGCGCAATTCATTACGTATGCAGGGTTCGCTCTCTTGCTCTCGGGCTGCTTTGTGCTCCTGAGGTGGAAGGGCACAAAGCTAACGCATCTCTCGAAGCTCGATAGCACAGTCGTACCTCCTCGCGTGAAATATTCAATCTTTCACCTGCTCATCCTTATGTCGATCTGTGCATTAGTGCTCGGCCTGATGAGGACTGCTCACCCCTCCGATGAAACGCCCGCCGGCTCTACCACCTTGTCCTATGCAGCACTCTTAATCCTCGTGCTACCTTGCATGGTCATCAACTCAATATGTGCTGCATGGGCCTCACTAAGCCTGAATTCGCCTTGGTCTAGACTCGCACTTGTTTCTGCCATAGCGTTGCTGCTGGGGATTGCATTTGCGGTTTCATTAGGTCTTTACGCAACCTCCTGGCGGCTATTTATTACCGGATCTCTGATTGAAGTTCTATCAACCGCAATTGTAATTGTAACGCTACTTGCTGTCCGTTCGTGCGGTTATCGGCTTGTCTCTAATACATTCGCGCAGGCGGATCCCTGAGCAAAAGCACAAAAGCCGATTCGGGTCCGCTGTGCGGACCAATAGCACCGGGGTACTATGTTTGAATGCCCGAAGGTTTGTACCTTCATTCTCGGTCCGCACAGCGGACCCGACTCGGATACTCTGCCTTAAAGCGATGCAAGAAGTTGCGGGCATCTAGCTGGGACCTCGTCTACTCATCTGATAACTGCCGGACTGATGTCGCGATCGAAATCTCGGGCAATTGAAATTGTGCTGGCGATCGTGCTGCTGGTGGGCATGCTGGTGTCGCTGCCGGTGGTGCGGATCGTCGGTTCGACGGTGGCCATTACGTGGCTGATTGATGAAGAGGGGATCGTTGAGGCGGTCGGGGCTCTGAGTTGCCTGGCCGCGGCGATCGTGCTGTGGGTCACTTTCTTTGTGGGTCGCAGGCGAGCCCGTGATAACGAAGGGGCACCTCGCCCGGGCGTTTTCCTTCTGCTGCTCGGCCTAGGGCTGCTGGTGATGTTTGGTGAAGAGGCGAGTTGGGGGCAGCGGCTCATCGGTTACGATTCGCCGGAAGTGATTGCCGAGCACAACACGCAGGCGGAAGTGAACCTTCACAACCTGCGGGTGTTTCAACCGCAATGGGGCGTGAACTACCTGCAGCCGCTGTGGTTCGTGGGCGTGATTGGCTACCTGGGCGTCTGTCCCTTCGTCCCGTTCGTCAGCAGGCGACTCGAACAATTCGGCATTCCGGTGGCATCGCAGGTGGTCGGTGGCCTGACGCTATGTGCGCTGTTCAGCGTGTGGCTGATGTCGACACTGTTTCCGCAGTGGATCATGCCGCACGAGGCGATGGAGATCGTCGAGAGCGTCTTTGAGATGCTGTTCCTGGTCTTCGCCGTTGATATCTATCGACGCTATGTAACTCCGCCGCGTGCAATCGCCAGTCGACGGTTGGTTGTGGCCTTGGCCTTGGTGATTGTTCCACTGGCGGCACTGCACGCGTACCGGTGGTATCAAACGCCGACGGAGTTTTTCACCCGGCAGAAGAGCGGCATCTTCTCGAAGGCCGCGCTGGAAGCCATGGAGCGGGGCGAACGAGAGAAGGCCCTGCAGTTGATCGATAGTTCGCTCGAGTTCTGGAGCGGCGACCCGGTGGCTAACTACCTGTTGGGCAACATGCTGAGCGAGGAGGGCGATCTGGCTGCCGCCCAATCGCATTACGAACAGGCGATTCTAGGCTCGCCCGATTTTCCAGAAGCCCACAATAATCTGGCCAGTGTGCTGGCCAGAAGAGGCGATCGGGCGGGGGCCATCGAGCACCTGGAAATTGCCATCGAGCTGAAGCCCGACTATGAAGAGGCGGCCCGAAACTTGGAGGCCCTGCGGTCAGATGGCAGGCGTTAAGCACCACCATCTGACCAGGGTTCCATTCTTGAAAGCGGCGGCTTAGTCGCGGCTGCCGCCGGTGAAGATCATGATGTAGTACAGCAGCGTGAGGACCGATTGCAGGGTCCCGGCCACATAGGTCATCGCCGCGGCGGTGAGCACCTTGCGGACGTAAACCAGCCCGTTGGCATCGATCACGTTCAGCTCGACAAGCTGCTGCTTAGCGCGGGTGCTGGCGTTGAACTCAACCGGCAGGTTCACAAGCTGGAAGAACACCACGCAGGAGAACAACGCGATACCAGCCAACAACAGCGGCTTCATCGCGAAAATCATCCCGATGATCAACAGCAACATGCTGGCCCCACCGCCAAAGTTGGCAGCCGGCACGGCGGCGTTGCGGATGACCAACGGAGCGTAGCCCACACCGTCTTGGATGGCGTGACCTGCTTCGTGCGCAGCAATACCCACGGCCGCCAGCGAGCGGCTGTTGTAAACCTCGGGGCTTAACCTGAGGACTTTGTGGTGCGGGTCGTAGTGGTCGCTCAAGTGCCCGGGCACCTGTTCGATGGCCACGTCCTGCAACCCGGCCGAATCGAGGATGAGCCGTCCGGCGGCAGCGCCGCTGAGCGGGGCCGGCATCTTTTGGGCCTGGGCGTAAGTCGATTTAAGCTTCATCTGCGCCCAGAAAGCCAGAATGAGGGCCGGGGCGATGATGATGAAATACCATGGGTCAAAGAACATCGGTCTTGTCCTTACTTCAACAAACTGAAAATGGCTGCTTTCCCTCGAACGCGAGGGGGGCTCGATCCAAGTACTTCGTCGAAGCCTGCACCATTATTGTGTAATACGTGGCTCGCGGGCAGGCGGTTCTGCGGCCGATTGTTGGGAATATTCCGCAGTGGAGCGGGCCGAGGCCACTGCTTAGCACACTTCGCCCGATCGCGACAAGGGCGATGAGCCCTAGTTCGGGGGGTGAATCGCTGCGAAGTCGGCCCCGGGGAATGCACCCGTAGAGTCGGTCGGGACGATTGCGGGCAGGCTCGAAGATGAGCGGACTCGAGGGCTCTTGGGGGTGGGAACCGCCAGGCGAAGTGGCGGCGGGGAGGGCTCCGTAGCTTGGCCCAGGCTGGACTCTTCAGTCGGTGAGACTGCCGGTCCGAGGGTGAAGTAGAACGTGGTGCCCGAGCCGGGTTGCGACTCGAGCCAGATCTGCCCACCGTGCCCGTCGATGATTTTGCGGACAATCGACAACCCTGCGCCGGTACCTTCGTAGTGTTGCCGGGCGTGGAGTCGGCGGAACATCTCGAAGATGGCCTTGTGGTGTTCGGACGAGATGCCGATGCCGTTATCGCGAACGAACAGCACGGGTTGGGGACGATCGAGGTAGCCGATGCGCACTTCCGGCTGGCGGCGATTGAACTTCATCGCGTTGACGATCAGGTTGCGAAACACCTCGCCGATCAGCGTCGGATCGCAAGCCACCTTGGGCAGGTGCGTGGTGCGAATGCGGGCCCGACGTCGCTCGATGCTGGGCTGAAGGGTGCCCAGTACATCACTGAGCACTTCGTCGAGGGCCACCTCTTCATGTTCCGGACGACAAAACCCAACGCGGGTGTAGCGGAGCAGGTCTTCGACCAGCCGTTCCAGTCGAGCGCAAAGTCGCACGAGGGTTTCCAGCCGTTCGCGGCCCTCGTCGTCGAGTTCGGCGTGATAGTCTTCCAGCAAGATCTCGCAGTAAGCACCGATGCCGCGGATAGGTTCTTTCAAGTCGTGGGAGGCGAGGTAGGTGAACTCTTCGAGTTCGTGGTTCATCTTCTCGAGTTCGTTACCTTTCGACTCGAGCCGGACGTTCGCCTCGCGGAGTAGTTCCATGTGTTGCTGGAGGCGTTGACTGGCCAGACAACGTTGGGTCACGTCGCGAAGCACCAGGGCGACCATGGGGGGATCGCTGCCTTCGAGCGGATTGATGGACATCTCCAGCGGGAACATGCTCCCGTCGCGACGGCGTCCTTGGGTTTCGCACCAGGAGCTGCTGGGGGTCACAGCTTCGGTGGAGAAGATGCCGGTTAAGAGGCCTTCGATTGGGTTCTCGGTCTCGCTGGGCACCAAAAGCTTCAGCGGGCCGCCGACCACGTCGGCTGCGGCGTAACCGAAGATGGCCTGGCAAGCCGGGTTGTAGGAGCGGATGATTTGAGCCGCATCGACGACCAGGATGCCGTCGGCCACGTTCGAAACCACGGCTTCGGTCCAGGCCTCGCTGGTGGCCAAGCGATGCCAAAGGGGGCCAAGAATGCGGAGTAGCATTGCGCAGCCGCCAATGATCAGCACCACCGAGGTGGCGATGGCCAGGCTGATGGCCACGTTGAAGCGGTCGCGAATCTCCGGCGGCAGACCGTTCATTGAGCCGCCACTGGTGAATGAGCTGAGCGGGGTTCCTACGGCGCGATGCAGCAGGAAGATGGCCACGGCTACGGCAGTCGCGCCGACCAGAGCCATCAGGGCATTCGACAGAACCAATACCCGCATCCGATCATTCATCGCCGCTTCTCTTCCCCAGCCGGTCGCAACAGTGCTAGCACGGAACCCCATCTTATGAATCGGCAAGTCGGGTCGGCGGGTGGGAACCGGATGATTCAAAGTCTTCACACCGTTTAGGACCGGCCCTGTTGCAACCCGTCCAGAGCCACCAGGCGGCACTCCTTGGTGCGAAGGAGCCTTTGCGGAGCTTGCCACCCTGCAGCGTTACAACCGGAGCATTCCCCAAAGCGGCCGCACATCTCCCACTGCCCCTAAAACCCCTAATCCACTGGATGCCTTAGGTTTGCCATGTTATCTTCCGAAGATACACCGTGTATGGCGTCCTTCAACGGGGCGCAGGCGCCGCACGGCGTCGTCCTCCCTCCCTGCGATTGGTTTTCCTTTTCGGACCACGGTCTCTCCCATGACGAAGATCTCTCGGCTGTCGACCCTTGCGTTGTTGCTGCCTGTAACTCTGCTCACCGCGGCTGTGATTGCGATGCCTGGTTGCTCGCGGAGCGATTCAGACGAATTAACGTTGGCCACGGTAGAACCGCCGGAATTCACGGCGTCTGATCTTCCGAGTGATGATGAGGTGCGCGACCGCATCGACGAAGTTCTCGACTTCACCGAAGCACGGCACTTGGTCGCCAACCAACATGCGGCGTGGCAGATCGTGCATGGAATTCTGGCCTTCGGCCCTAACTTGCGAATCGATGTCGATGGCGAGTTGGTGCCGGCCTTGGATTGGTTGGTCAACGGAGGTCAGCTCACCGGTTGGAACTTGCGACCCACCGAGCATGGTTTGGAAGCACCGTTGGAATCGGGTTCGCAAACCGGACAAGGGCACGAAGATCAATGGCTGGGCTACCTGGTGCAGTGCGATCTTCCGACCGACCAGATGATCACCTACCGAGGGAAGCAATATCCGCTGAGCGATCTCGCGCGACAGGCCCAATGGGATATTCGCGAAGGGATGGAAGCCAGTTGGACGCTGATGGGATTGAGCACCTTCATACCGCTCGATTCGAAGTGGACCGCCAGCGATGGCACCGAATGGTCGATCGAACGCATCATGCGGATGGAGCTGGACGAAAAGCTGGAAGAGAGCCCTTGCGGAGGCACGCACCGACTGGTGGGACTCACGATGGCTCTGAATCGTCACTTGGCCGAAGGGGGCGAACTGGTCGGCGTGTGGAAAGAGACAAACGACCGCGTGAATATGGCCATCGAAAAGGCCGAGCTGTTCCAACAGCCTGATGGATCGTTCTCGGCCAACTACTTCGAACGCCCGGCTTCAACCCAGAACATGGGCGACCACATCAACAGCATGGGGCACACGCTCGAGTTCATCACCTACGCCATCGAGCAAGACCGCCTTGAAGAACCGTGGATCACCAAAGGCGTGTTGCAGTTGTGCGACCTGCTGGATCTCACCCGTAATGAATCGGTGGAGTGCGGTGCGTTGTATCACGCGGCCCATGGGTTGGTGCTGTATCGTCATCGCCGCTTCGGACCGCGTGAATACGGCAACGCCGAATCGCGTGCTGAACTAACCGAGGCCCCCACCGAAGCGAACGACGTACAGTAGAGCAGCGTTCATCAAACCACCACTGAGCTAGTTGCCGTCGGTTTCGGCCGGGCTTTCGGTGTTTCCGTCGACGGGCTGCTCGTTGGTTTCGGCAGGAGCTTCCGTCGCAGGTTCGTCAGTGGTTGGTGCCGTTTCGCCAGCGGGTTCCTCTGTGGCGGCAGGGGCGGTGCCTTCGGGCACGGGTGGAGGATCGGGAAGGCGGAGCCCTAGCATACCGAAGCGATGGCCTTGGCTGTCGTAACGCACGACTGATCCGGAGCCTTCGCGATCGTGCTCGACGACAACCAGCGGTTTCTTGTCTTCGCCGAAGGTGGCCACCACGCCGCCGCCTTCGAGTGCGTCGAGCCGCACTTGGATTTCGCCTTGGGCATTGAACACGCTGATGGCCCCCGAACCGTTTTCTTTGGTGGCCCCCATCGAGATGAGCGAGTTGCCGTTCTCGCCGAAGATATGAATCTGCCCCGAACGCCCTGAGGCATCGGAGAGCACGATCCGGGCTTTGCCGTCCTCACCACGCAGGAGGATCGACTTCGAGACCTCTAGGGTGTCGCAGCTAATCTGGTTCGCGGAGAACTCCATCGCCGTGAGCCTTTTGAAGATCGGCAAGACCTGAGTTCGTAGCGAAGCTCCCAGGGCCAAGACCAGCAACGGGTACAGAATCCAGCGTTCGCGATTCGACATGCTTACCCTCGTTATGTGCCGCTGCACCGCAGCCCTGGGTTGCTATGTCTGAGCAATCCGGCGGCTAAGAACGGCATCGGTTTGTGAATCATCGCCCCATCGAACCAACCGTGCTGTTGGAGCGGGCGACGAAGGTTTGATAGCTGCTACGGTCAGGTGAACCCAAATGGGTTCACCGCAGGACATGATGGTCATGTCAGAACCGAACGCGGATTGTCCCACACCGCGGAGCATGGTCAAGCAGCGAGCGAACCGCCCACGAGGGAGAGGGCGGGCTTTTCAGTAGAGATTGGCTCGATGGTTCTATTTGCTGACCATCGAAGGCGAGTGCGGCATGGGCACGACGTGGGGACCGCTGTAATCGCGGGCCATGATCTCGTCGATGGCCGAGCCGAGCAGGTCTTGCCCGTCGGGCGACTCATCGACCAAAGCGGCCGCGAATTCGGCTCGCAGTGTGGTCGCGCGATTTTGCAGCAGACGGATGCGGTCTTCCAACGTGTTCAACTGCGACACGAGATTTGAAAGGTCGTTGGATGTTGTCTGGTCCACGGTTCAACTCCTGTGCAGGCAAGGTGGGAGCCCTTATTCAAGGGCAATTGCCAGGCGGGTAGCTTGGGACTCTCGGGGAAGGTGGCTTCAGGCGTGGGTGGCTTGCCGCGGGGGTCGCGTGCGGCGGAGCCATACGAGAGGGCCCGACCGGTCACTTCCTGGCGGGGCGTAATCTCGCTGATATAAACGTACCCGTCAGATTTCGCCCAAGCCGAAAGAGTTCACCGCATTTTGGGCACTGCAGCCAGAGGGTGGCCGTCACCATCGTTAGAAAACGATCTACCGGAACGGAGAGAAGTGCGCGAAGTGAAAGGCGAGAGCGTGAGGGCTCGCTTGAATCAGTGCCTAGCATCGCCTACTGCGAAGCAGCTTCAGTAACCAGGCTTGTCGTCGATGAGAATCAGGGCCGCTCTGCTAGGCGCGGCTGACGACGACTGCGGCGGCGACGCCTTGGGGCAGATGGTTGATGGCCACGCAGGCGTCTTTGCCAGAGAACTGGGGTGGACCGGCTACGACGTGGACCGGGCAACTCGGGTCGGGCGATTCGTAGTTCAATGTGCCGGGCACCAATCCGCGGTCGATGCCCATCACGCTGGCCGCCAGTTCCATCGCTCCACTGGCAGCACCCAGGTCGCCAAAGAAACTTTTGGGAGCCGTCACAGGTGCGTCGGGGAGGAGTTGGCTCAAGGCTTGCGATTCGACCTGGTCGTCCACGATGGTGCTGGCCCCGTGAGCGTTGACGTGCCCCAGGTCGCTCAACTCGAACTCGGCATCGCGCGTGGCTGTTTCGATGGCGCGACGAATGGCATCACCACTGCACGGACCGTCTTGCGCGGCCGGTTGGAAGGCCGAAGCGGAACCCGCCACGCGGGCCAAAATCGGTGCGCCACGGGCGATGGCATGTTCACGACGTTCGAGGACGAAGATGGCGGCCCCTTCGCCGATGACGCGACCGTCTCGATCGGAGTCGAAGGGACGCACGGCCTCGTCGGGGCGATCGCAGCGGTGAGATAATTCTCGGGTAAGGCAATCGCGCACCCAATCGAGCGGCTGCAAGCGGGAGCTGGCCCCACCGGTGATCATGATGTCGGCATCGCCACGTTCGATCACGCGAGTCGCTTCCGAAACGGCGATCAGCGAGGAGAGATCGTTTTGGTGAATCGTGTTGTTGGGCCCTCGCGCGTCCCAAAGGATGGAAATGTGCGAGGCCAGCATGTTGGGCAGGATCTTGAGGAACCCCAGGGGGAAGGCCTCTTGGATTCCGTGGGTGGCCCAACGGTCGAAGTCGAACTCACCCTTCTCGTTGAGGCAGGCGCGATAGGTGTCTTCCGATTCTTCCAGCGTGTTGCGGATGCGATCGGCCCCCAACACCACTCCGAAGCGATCGGGGTCGACTTCGCCAACTTTGATCCCGGCGTGTTCGCAGGCCAGCGATGAACCGGCCACGGCGAACTGTGAGTCGCGGGCCATGAGCTTAAGCGACTTGCGCGGTCGCACGTATTGCTTGGGTTCGAAATCGAGGACTTCGCCGGCGATGCGCACGGGCAGGTTTGCCGTGTCGAACGACTGGATAGGCCGGATACCGCTGCGGCCTTCTTGCATCGACTTCCAAAAGACATCGCTGCCAATGCCAATGGGGCTAATCACCCCGACGCCGGTGACGACAACTTCGATTCTTGGCTTTTGTCCGTTCATGGCGTTTCAAGCGTGTGTGGCCATCGCGCGAGGGCAGCGTATCGATGGTCGCAGTGAGGCCGCACCCTGAGGGATTGCGGCGGTTGGTTTAAAATCCTCGGCCGTACCAGCATCCGTGCGATCGGGTTAACGATCGGTTCGTCAGCCGTTTTTCAAATACTTGGGACGTACCACGTCCTTGGCCAAGCCCACCAACTGTAGTGCTCTGATCGTGAGATAAGTCACATCGAATTCCCACCAACGATGGCCGTGAGCGGCACTTCGCTGGTCGGCATGATGATTGTTGTGCCAGCCTTCGCCGTTGCTGATGAGGCCGATGATCCAGTTGTTCTTGCTGTTCTCACCGGTGTCGTAGTTTTGATAGCCCCACACGTGGGTCACCGAGTTGACGCTCCAGGTGATGTGCCACACGGCGATGGTGCGAAGGATGACGCCCCACATCACCAGGCTCAGGCCGAATTGCACTCCGCCCATCACGGTGCCAGTCGACCACCATCCGGCTGCGAAACCACCGAGATAGAACACCGCGGCGTGGCCCACATAAATCCAGAACCAGGCCAGGTGCTTTTCCAAACGGAAGTAGAACGGATCGCGGAGTATGTCACGGGCGAAGCGATCGTAGGTGTTCAAGCTGTTCACGCCGCGGTTCTCAACCATCAGCCATCCGCAGTGACCCCAGAAGAAGTTGACCAGCGGGCTGTGCGGGTCGTCTTGCTCGTCGGAGTCTTTGTGGTGCAAACGATGGATGGCGACCCAACGGGCCGGCGTATCTTCCAGGCAGCAGACACCCAGGATGGCGAACGTGTGTTCTAACCACTTGGGCACCTCCGCACTGGTATGGGTGAGCAGGCGATGGTAGCAGAGGTTGATTCCCAACGTGCCGAAGACGTACAGCCCGAAGAGAAACAGAACCACACCGGTCCAACTAAACAGGTAACTGAACACCGGCGGGATGAGGATGGTCAGCCCGATGAGGTGCAGCGTGGTGATCGAGATGAGGTACGGCCACAGAAATTTGACCGGTTGGGTGTCTTGGGGATAGTCGAGATGCAGCGAGGCGGCACCACCCGAGATGCGACGACCGTACCGCTTCTTCTCGACTGCGGTGTCTTGCGCTGCGGTAGACGAATCGGTCTGGGGGGGCGATTTGGCGTCGGTAGCCATAATTCTGCGAGCCCTACTGGTTCGGTGTGTTAACGGGTACCACGGTGCATCGATACTGGTTTCAGCGACGTGCTACCGGCGGCAGCATTCGCAATAAACTGTATGCATTGTGACGATCGACCGATCCGACAGGCCGCTGCATGTTTTTCGTATGCGAACGGGATTCCCTTACACTTCGTTCCCACAACGCACATGCGGAGGAATCGAAGCCCGCGCGGAAAGTACCGCAGCTTGCCAAGATCGACCATCTCCCCAAGGAAGTCAAGGCCGAAGGTGGCGGGCATTTTGACGCATGAGGCCAGTGTGGAGTGTGCGGTGGGGCCCTGTGGATTACGGCCAAACACTGCATTCGACTATGAAGCCGAGCGCAGGGGACCGTCGGGCGTTACAGGTGGGTCGTAAAGGAACTCTGCCCGAGTCCTGCGCTCATGCCCATTGTCGCAAATCAACGGCGGCGGTACAGCCTAGAAATTCTCGAATATGTGCAGTGCGTGGCTACGCATTCGTCGCAGCGAGGGCCGTCTCGAGCGAGGCGAGGATGCCTGCGGCCGACTCGATGCCGACGGAGAGACGGAGCATGCCGTCGTCGATGCCCAGTTCGGCTCGGCCTTGGGCCGTCATTCCGCGATGGCTGGTGGTGGCGGGGTGGCTGAGCGTGGTCGAGAGATCGCCGAGCGAAGGACTCAGTGGGATCTCGGTCGCGGCGGCCACGAAACGCTCGGCGGCTGGGCGACCACCGGGCAACGAGAAGGTGACCATCGAACCGTACATGCTCGCGAACTGTTTGGCGGCCGCAGCGTGGTCGGGGTGATCGCTTAGCCCGGGGTAGATGACTTGAGCGACGCGTTTGTCGGACGAGAGGTGTTGAGCGATGGCCAGGGCATTCTCACTGGCGCGGGCTGCGCGGAGTGCGAGGGTGCCGAGCCCTCGGGAGGCGAGCCAACAATCGAGCGGGGCAGCGGCGAATCCCCAAGTGGTGATGACTTCGGGGATGCGATCCCAGGTGTTCTCGCGGCCACAGAGCAGACCGAGGAGAACGTCGCTGTGACCGTTCATGATCTTGGTCAGGCTCTCCATCACCAAGTCGGCCCCGTGTTCTAACGGGCGGCAGACGATGGGCGAGGCGAAGGTATTGTCCACGAGCAGCGTAACGTCTCGCTGGTGACACATGTCGGAGAGGCTCGCCACATCGGGAACGCGGAGCGTGGGGTTGGAGATGGTCTCGACGATGAGCATGGCCGGGCGTTGATCGAGCGCCGTGGTGAGCGCCGCGGGGTCGCAGCAATCGACGGTGGTGCTCTCGATGCCGAGTCGGGCGGCCTCGTGAACGAAGAGTTGGATGGTGCGTCCATATAAGCGGTTGCTGACGGCCACGCGGTCGCCGGACTTCAGCCGCGCGAGCAATGCTGCGGAGAGGGCCGCCATGCCTGAGGAGCAGATGGCCGCGCGGTCGGCGGCGTGGAGTTGTCGACACTTCTCGGCCAGCAGATCGGCGTTGGGTTGGCCGTCGCGGCGATAGACGTAACCGCCACCTTCGCCCAACAGCCGGTCGACTTGCTCCAAGTCGTCGCAGGCATACACGGCAGCCGGGAAGATGCCGGGGACCATCGGCCGGGTGTCCTGAGGCGGCATGTGCTGGGGCCGGGGACAGATGTCTTCCGGGCGTTCGTTCATCGTGGGGCGTTTCCGTCGCGGGTGGCCGGGGCGAGATCAAGCAGGTGCTGCAAGGTTTGCAGAGCAACGTCGCAATATAACTCCGCCCCGGCGGATGAGCGAATGTGGTAACTGGAGCGGTTTCCTCGGCGTTGCTATGCTGGCCGTCATGCCACAGCAGGTCGAAACTCCGGCGGACCCCGCCCCACTGACGACGCTCCGCCCGGTGCTTGGCCCCTTCGCGGCCGCGGCCATCGTCGTGGGCGGTGTGATTGGCTCGGGGATCTTTCTGAAGCCGCAGGAAATCGCCCTGACCACGGGTGGGTTTCTGGGATTCATTCTGCTGCTGTGGGCCATCTGCGGGTTTGTGAACCTGTGCGGGGCGCTGGCCCTGGCTGAGTTGTCGGCCATGATGCCGCATGCCGGCGGGACGTATGTCTTTCTTCGTGAGGCGTACGGTCGGCTGTGGGCCTTTCTCTGGGGCTGGGCCGAATTCTGGGTGATCCGTAGTGGGGCCATCGCCGCACTGGCCGTCGCACTGGCGGGCATCGTGTTCGACATGTTGCGGCAAGGCGAGTTGGTCAACTCGCGCGACTATGAAGTGGCCTTCGAAGTGGTGTTCTCCGTGGGCACGATCGTGCTGCTGACCGGGATCAACATCTATGGAACGCGCTGGGGTGGCGCCACGCAGAACATCACCACGATTATCAAAGCCGGCTTTGTAGGGTTCCTGGCGCTGTTGCCTTTCCTGGCTACCGGGAGTGGGACCGTTGATGTGCACCCGTTGTGGCCGTCGCAGGTTGATATGGGATTGTTGGCGGCAACCGGGGCGGCGCTGGCGGCCATCATGTGGGCGTACGATGGGTGGGGGATGGTCACTGTGGTGGCCGAGGAGATTCATCACCCGGCGCGGAATGTACCCCGGGCACTGATCGGTGGTGTGTTGTTCCTCACCGTGTTGTACGTCGCGGCCAACCTGGCGTATCACCTCACGCTACCGTCCTCGGTTATCGCCGACCCTAAGAACAACAACACGGCCATGGTGGTGACCCAAAAACTGCTGGGACCTTTCGGCACGCAGTTGGTATTGGCGATGACGCTGGTCTCGATCTTCGGGGCGCTGAATGGCAACATCCTGGTCGGGCCGCGGGTGGCGTTTGCGGTGGCCCGGGATCATCGGATGTATGAACCGCTGCGTCGGGTCGATCCTCGGTTTGGAACGCCGGCGTTGTCGATTGCCGCACTGTCGGGCTGGTCGTGCACGTTGATTTTCGCCAACCATGTGATCCCAGTGGCCGACACGTCGTTGTTCAATATGCTGACCAACTACGTGGTGTTCGGCGGATCGGTGTTCTACTTCTCGGCCGTATTGGCGGTGTTCGTGCTGAGGAAGCGAATGCCGGATGCCGAGCGGCCGTATCGCACCTGGGGATACCCGTGGGTGCCGCTGGTGTTCGTGGTGTTTTATGTCTACTTCCTGGCGGCCATGTTCTGGGCTCGCCCGAATGAATGCGTGCGGGGGCTGGTGCTGATTGCGTTGGGAGGGGCCTGGTACTTTGCGGCGAAAGCGATGTGGCCGGGCTCGCACGGTGAGGCACCCGAGAATTCGCTGCCCACGATGTGATTGATCTCCTGTGGCAGGAAGCCCTATCGCTCAGGCCGTCGCGGCAAGCTTCGGCGGCATTCGCTTCATGCATTCTTGATGGCCCCGCTGCGTGATGAACGCTGAGCCAGCACCGCCAGCGTCGGGGCATTGGAAATAATCGGATTTCCCTTCGAAATCGGAATTTTCGTTGTTCACTGGGCCGTGGGCGGTGCGAATAAAGAGTGAGGATGATTTGCATCGTGACGACTGCGTTCGGTTTCCGGCCCTAGAGGGAATGGGACTGCATCGATGCGAATCGTCTCAAGCTATTCTTGAGAAACGGTTTGCCGCCAAATGGAATTTGGGGACAAGGGAACACTCGGGCTAGCAGCCGCGTAGTACGAGGGCCTGCTACTGCGGTACGGCGAGACCCAACCCCCCGAAGTTGGCTACGGATTTGTGGACCGGATGTCCAGAAACCACTAAATTGAAACGGTTTGCGACGTTGATAGATTGCCCCGGCGATGTACGATTGACGGTAGCTCTGTCGTTTTCTTCGACAGCAGCTTCTCAGGCAATTCTCATCGATTGTCGCGGC